CGTACAGGCTATAATCCGTTTTTTGCCAACTATTCCTTGGAGGCGTAACGTCCAGACGGGATAACGTTGAATTTCCTAAATGCCCATCGACAATATAGCACTACGTAAACCCTGATGAACCGATATGCGCAAAAGTAAGTTGTATAAATTTGTACCCTACCACGTCTGACTTTTGGATTTGAATTCTATGTTTAATTTCCTTATTTTTTTCGTTCATAGACAGGTCTAAGATGGATGAATTTTTTTATAAGTACATCTTGCCGATGGTCTTCGCAAAAGATCCGTCGTTTTTCCACATGCAGATCTCTTTACGTCGGCACTGAAAAACATATGGAGCTAAAAATATGTACCAGCAAAACAGTATTGTCTATTTTACAAACTATGAGCTATTATTACTATGACGGACAACGAATTATACTATTAACGATTTGCTGACGATGCAGCGTACAAACTCGCGCCGCTTTTTTTTTACTTCGCAAGAGGCCATACCGCATATCTGTTCACAAAACACGAAGAGTTTAGGTTATAGGCAGACAAAAGATTTTTCGTGCCATATTTGTATTGTTATTACAATCTATTCTACTGCCTATTTTGTGTTATTATTACTACCTGCTGCCTTACTATCTACAGATTTCAGTAAAGTCATTTTCTATATGAATATATGTTCGAACTGGAAAAAAGGGACTTGCTGGACTTCTATGTACTCCGTAATATACTGTAGCTTACGCATATTACGCGCGAGCCCATAATTGAATGGCTGAGCTAATCAGAGGCTGCCGATGGCTTACCTTTGTGCCTAAGTGCATCCAAATTCAGCTTCTTAACCCATTATGGAATAAATGGATTGTTAGGCAGATGGCTTACCTTTGTGCCTAAGTGCATCCAAATTTAGGTTCTTAACCCATTATGGAATAAATGGATTGTCAGGCCGATGATCGGATACTGACGATGGATCGCCCAAAGCGTTTATCTATTATGGTCCCTTCCATAACGGTCGCGTGCCGCCTCAGTCCTGCAAAGTTTTCATCGCTCTCGCATTTTCGTTCAACTTCGTACTATGTTTGCTTTCCGGTTGTGGAATTATCACGGTCTTGCTCTGTCGACTCCGTACGACGGCCGCTTGCTCTTTGTGCAAGACACGTGCGGTGTTCCTCGGCAGTTAGGCCTCTATTCGACAATAGTAGTCCTTCGCGACCATCCTTGCCTAGCAGCTATCTATTGTGTACATTTTTGACTGTAACAATCTTTTTTCAGTTACATTTTTTTATTCTGGCCGCACAAGAGATTATTTTAGTGTTGGCTTGACAGTTAGATAACTGACTCATCTTCGAGGTCGTTTGATTAAGCACGGAATCGAAATCACTAGCGAGCAACGTTCAATTAAAATTGTTTAATATATATATTTTTTTGCTTCTTCATTCAAATAATATGGTCAATTGGAAATCATGTTGGCGCAAGTTGGGTATGTAGACCGCATGAAAGGTCTGCAGGAGGAGCAATTTTACTATGACAGGGGTATGGTGACTGTCTGATAACGCCATTTCTTGGACCGATTTGGGTTCCAAATGATACTTTTGTCATAACAAGGCTAATATGCGTCATGATTCATTGGCCACTGGAAATATATAAAATAATTTAATATCTCTAAGATTCCAAAGTTCAAAGATCTCTAAGATTTCAAAGATAGTTCAAAAGCTGGATTGACGATAACTTATTTTGTCAGTAGATATATGCCCATTTCGGCTGGCAATTTCAAATTGTTCCCTAGGGAGACTTAATTAAAAAAAATTAAATTAAAAAAAAAACTAAATGACAGTCTACAACAAGTATGACGTGTACCGAACCTTCTGTATTAACAATTGCTTATATCGGAGAGATACGTTTTCATCACGACCGATCTCTTCACGGCACACCATTCAGCAAGGCTTGTCCAGTAAGCGATTCTCCATAGAGTGCTTCCCTAACTTAAAACATGTTTGGTACGTTTCAATGTCGACACGCGGGACGTACACTCCACAGTTCCGTACATCAGACACCGCAGCGAATGTCAACAACAATAATCTCGAGTAATCATTAATGAAATTAAAAATTACACAAGGTTATTGGGACCTATTCTGGGACTATATGCCGGCTCCCTGTTTGGTTCAAGCAGAGTATTGCTCTGTGATGTGAAGCATGAGTCTGCTTTCCTAGTAGAATATTTTCTTTGAGAATTCACAGTAATTCAGGTTTGAATCTGATGACTTTACCTTACGCCTTACTTGTTTCGGCCGTGTTGAGCGCTATCGAGGTCTGCAACGACCTTCTTCAATGCAATATCGAACGAGCTATGCTCCATCAAAAGTATAAGGTAATGCATGTAAATGCATACATTCACTATATCTTCTGCTGCCAGCACAAACTGAAGATGAATGGCCAATTTTGACAAAACTTTCGTCTGACTCGACTTCCAACGAAATATGTTAACGAGCACTATGCTCTTTAAAGTTATTAGAGAAGGTCGATACGAGAACTTATAGTGATGACCTTATGGCTTCGTAGATTTCACCTCAGATCGGTAATTTCTAAAAGTCATTCAGGAACATCTTGACTATGAATCCTGAAAGCTATGCTTGGCACAATATAAATACTGTTGAATGAATCGTAAAGTAGATTCGATGGGCTAAAAAACCCAACGTGGGTTCGCTTCCATGGGATGTAATCTAGAGGACAGCATAGTTCCCTCCGAATGTAAGAGTAACAACAAATAGAAGTTATGTTAGAAACTTTTATTCAACCAACATACCTTCACCTGTTAATCACGAATACAAATAACAATCGTAATCTCCGGGCATCTGTTGTACTGCCATTGATCCATTGTGTCTGTTGCTTTACATTTGGCTACAATGACTTGAATGGGAAGTCAAATGATTTATAGTTCATTAACTGGCATACAAGATTATTGTATGGATATGTGTTAAAGATAACCTATTCGGTTCCTTGCCGCCATGTTGGCTGCAGTACGCCGATGTTTGTCACCTGTCAGGATTTTATGGTAGCGATATCTATGACCGTTGCGGCCAATATTTGCTAATATCAATATTTAAGGGAAAATACTTATGACTGTAAAAGTTCCATAGGAAAAACACATAGCATACGCAAATATACAAGGCCGCTGTGGTTACGTTAAAACACTTTATTGGCGCTTATATCGTGTACGTGTGCGCGCTGTTGGATTCGCGCGCACGGAAACTAACGACTCTCGGAATATAGCATTGAGATATCTTACGTTCTCACTTTGAAGATTAACTCAGTACGTACGTATATCGGTGAAGAGAACCAATGCTGACTTCCGAACGAAACTATGGCCCCTAAAATTACCTGTATTTAGGACATAAAACGTAGTACCTATTATTTTAAAATAATATTCCGCCGACGATGTACTAATGAAAGGTAGCATTTCTACTTGGTGCAATTGTTATTGCTGCGACTATTTTCAGAGAAATAAAAAAAAAAAAGAAAGCGATTTTAATACTATTGATGATAACCTTTCATTGGCAAGTTTAAACTAAAAACTCAACAAAGGATATCATTCACAAGCTATTTTATAATGCGAAAACGGAAATTCGTTCATTCCTTGACATTTGATTAAGATAAGTAACTCATACTTGCGAACTTCAGGATAGTCTCTAAGTAATACGTAAATCCACCGTGGCACCAGTGACGAGAAAATTCAGATATTACTGAACTTACGAATGAGCACCTCACTAACTTCACCAATTACAATACTCAGGAATCACCTGTCATTGCAACATACATAGACATGGTGTAAGAGATATTATGTTCATTCGTCCTCGCCAAAAACTTTGTGTCGATAATGGCCTTTAGAGGAGAAATTCAGGAAAAACAGGAAACTGTTGCTTTGCTCCCAACACGTGACTAGGTGCTGGTATTGACAAAAGCATCTGTTGTAACCATGGTGTTGAGTGCATCGGTTGTGTAAATAAATGAAATCTTTGTACATCGAAATATTGATTGGATGTGATCGTTCTATTGATTGCGTCTAATAATCGCGTTTTTTTTAATGGATTACGTTCTAAGTGACGTCAAAGTAAAAAAAACGTTTTGATTTGCTCCGTCAGGGGAAGATGGCAGGTAGTCGGAAACACAGCGGATCAGAAATTCAATAATGCACAAAATTGCATACGTTTATGGGTTTCGTACTGTATAGGATTTCGGCACAAGCTTTGCATTCTCGGATTGACTTGCTGATAAGCATAATACCTGTAAACTGTTTGCACTAGAGCAGTAATAATATATAAAAGTAATTATAATTCATTGTAATAATTATAATAGATAATTATTCCATATGAATAATTAGATGAGTGAATAGCTAGATATAGAAAACTTGCCATTAGTCCTAGTATCGCACTTGAGTTATAGCATTCGCCACTCTGACAATACGCTTGCTGTCAACACGGATTATAACTGATGAATCTGAGCTGCAAAACATAGTGTCTGACAGAGGGAAAAGTCAACAGTTGTTACATAATTTCAACAGCTGGCTGCCGTGCTGAAGGTCATTGACGAAGTTTGGACGACATGACACATGCATGGCAGCCAATGCTTCATACTTGAGCTGGAACACCTTTAAAGAAGTCGAAAGCTGGAAAAAAGTCTTTTTTTGACAATGGTCAAGAAACGTACTTAACAAGTTTTGTACGTCCGCCTTGCACTACTGTGATAACTATTACAAACGTAGATCACGCCGTCTGAAGTAATGCTTAACGAACTAAGTACTAGGTGTAAAATACAGCCAGCTAAAACGTCAACTCTTATCCCAGTGCTATAAATCTCCACACACACACCGATTGATGCACATATGACATGTATGAAACTCCACTGTCTTGCATATAGCTTCTCCACCCTTTCCAAATTCTCCCGTTGCAACTCGTCGGATCTTTCTTTCCCGCCGTTCCATTTAAATCGGTTGACCCGCTCCGCAATCCGCAAGATGGCGGCCCCCAGTGAGTTCGACTCCGTTCATCACTGGAGTACTCTGCGGTGTTATTATATATGCATTTATGCAGCAGGAGAATAACAACAGAACCGGTCACACCGACACCAGCAGTACAAAGCAGGTGACAGCGATAAGATTTTATCCATTTTATAGTGAGGTATCAAGGATAACGTTAAGACGCACAACCGGGAAGGTGGTCAGCCCGTGAACCAGTTAGCGTTCGCGGAAAATTCTGCTCGGCTTGTGTTGGATACTGGATTTGATTACTGGCGAATTTGTTTTGCTTAACTCAGCCATCCACCTGCTTGCGGCCACATCTGTTAACTAAATAGACTGATCAACAGCTGCAACGCCGGACGCTGAGGTTTCCTAAAACCACTGAACTTATAGTAGCATTGTGCGTCTCTTGTGGTAGTTTGCTGTCTAGGTATGGCAGTGAAGAATCTGACCGATGTCTACTTGCTTATGAGAAGCAACTCCGCGCGCGCCAAACGCAGCCTAGATGAGGTGAGTGTACTTCGAAAAGTGGCCTAAATAGAACCTATAGGCCATTCACTTTCCTTCGGCGAATGTGACTCAGCCAGTAAACATTTCCACAAAACCGACAGTTTTACCTTTCCATCCATCTATAAAACAAATACAACGCAGCGTAATACCTGAAACTGACGTATGACCTTGTTCGCAGTACATCGTAACGGTTAATATATGAAATTACCATCGAAGAACAATGTTGGGACAGCACCATCGACACCGACTGCTGTAGCTAAGTACGCTGACAAAGCTGTCGTAGATTTACTGATCTATTGTCACAATTAAAAAGAGTATTGTTTCAAATCATACACGGACATCCCACGAACGTTTTATAATATACAGTTTTATAGTTTAATTTACGTTACGAAATTCGAATTGATGGTTTTCTCGTTATCGTTTTTTCTTTAAGCAGAGAATTGTTTGTGTATCGGTGTGCCCGCCTGTAGTTCATCTGTGACCAATTACGATTTGCGTGAAAACTGCGCTATGGAATTAGGTCGTTCGTAGCTTCTCCTATTGTTTGTCACCAGTAAGTCATAGCACGCTTGATACGGTCAATAGCTCTAAGGGAACTAACTTAATGTTTTATTCAGATGGGCGCATATGCTGCATAGGGTATGCCTTATATTGTTAAGGAAAGATAAATATCAGCATTCGAAATTTGACGTAATACCGTCTACTGCTAATGGGCCATCAATTTTCAAAAAATACTGGTCTTCAGTTTCCCATCTTTCAAACACGCACACACATTATAGATTACGTAACATTTTGTTGAAGATTAAACAGAACGATAGACGTGCCCGCTTGACAGATCCGTGGGAGTAACACGCCAGTGTCAACTGAACAAGCTACATGACAAAGCAGTCCATTGGTATTAGTTCCCTAGCTTTGAGATCGGTGTAGAATTCGCGCTAGGCGTGTGACAAGTTGTGGCCTATTACATTTTATGTGGAGTTCGAACGCTTTATACCGTCCATCCTTTATGGCGCGAAAGACACTTGAACTATAGTTGCGAACGCTGCTGATCTTTCATCACCAACCGAACCTTGCCACGAATAAGGTAAAGTGCCAAGTGGACAAAGAAATTTCATTGTCATTGTTGACCGCCTGATTTTAGTTTGCTGCCAAGTGCAGTTCTTTTTTTATCTTGATTACTTTATGCAGATGCCCGTAAAACACTGATTCGACGTCGCCTAAAATGCCCATCACGAGAAAATGGTTCGTGATAAACAAACCATTGCATTTTTACGGTTGATTTAGTTATTCTATTAACCGACCACTTGCCCTTCATTGTAAATACCCATATGTACATTTTTTAATTTTTTCCTTCATTATTCTCACTTTTCGAAGTTTCAGGATGACGTCGGTGACACAGTGTCCTTGGTAAGTGCCTCGGGTGATGCCGAACGAGGAGAATGGGGCGGTCCAAGGAATCGCGAACGTCGGGTTTTACAGGCGCCATTGTGGACCGACAACCTCGCCGAAATCAAGGCCGATATAGCGCGAATCCGTCATCATTGTACGATTTTATTTATATACTATTAATTTATTAGATACATCGTGTTTTTAAATAATTATTTCAATTTCTTCTGAATTACGCGTTTGGAGCCTGCTTCCGCCTTATATAGTAGACTACCAATTAGAGGAGCTTAAATGTTGTATATGTACTGCCTTTAGTACATATTGCGGAATGCTTCCACACATTGCATACACATTTTCCACACATAATAACAAAAACGATGTAATCATCATAGAGCGTTACGCTAATCCTTGTAATTTGTTCTTAATTTTACATAGTAACCGAATTAAAGCGACTTCATGACAAGCACCTAAACAGACCATCGCTTCTCGACGAACAAGACGAAGAATCTAGGATTCGTGCAGCTCAAGACGAAATAGGCAGACTGCTTCGAGACTGCCAGTCACACGTAGCAATCATCAACAGGTTGGAAAATACAAAGAAAAATAAAAAGTAAAATACATGGTCGTTAAGCTTTTAGGCTCGTCTAGGCTGATAACTCTTTTTACGGCGAAAGGTTCAGTATCGGTCGGGATGCACGGCCCCGATAAAGACAATTCCCTTCGTGTTGTAGAACAACACTCTTTTAATTTACAGGAGACTGTGCGCAGTGTTCGACAATAGTATACCATATAAATGTATTCGATCCTAGTAAGCTATAAGTGAGGGATTCGTCTCACCCGGAAAGTGGTTGAATTTCTTACGGGTCGCTAGAGTTTTATTTTGGGTAGAACTGCGCCGAAAATAGAACCGATTGGCTAAACACTTTCTGAAGTCAGCCATCCGAAGTGATGCGGAACGACTTTAGTATGGGATAGAAAGTACGAAAGACGTTTAAGGTGACCATCAGTATCGACTGCGCTAATTCATCATTAGTGAGAAAGTTCTATTGCGTACTGTACGTATATGCAGCGTGTATTGTCTGACAAACTGTCTAAACTATATTGTGGAACAAGTTATAAAATTATAGCTAGTAGGAAATAGCTGGCCATTATTTGAAGTTACTGTTACTAAAAATATAATTGGCCTTTTACCTTCACATAGGTAAAATACACTACAGAGCAAAACAGGCGTGGGGCGAAACTCGCCCGTGGTGCCCTAATTTCTTTCCAGTGCTCTTACTTCAGCAAAGCCCCAAGCGAGCATCGATGCAAGGCAAATATCTCGATTGATCCGACATTGTTCTTACGCATGAGCTTGTCCTTTCTGTTATTGTTGACGTGGATACAGGTGGTCTCAAGCAAAACAGTCCGGCTGGGCGGAGCGCCAGTTAACGGATAACGTTGTTCGAGCTGTAGCAGGTCAACTTCGCGAGGTTACGGAGCTTTTCCGACAAAGCCAAACCGACTATTGCAATAGTGAGTACCTGCCAGGTTCTTCGTTGAATAAGTAGATCAGTTTATCATGCGGCAGTATGAGTTGAAAGATTCAATAGACGCCGCGCAATGTGTACATAAAACTCCGACAAGAAATAAACATGTCAAAACAAAAATTTTCTCTATGACTCTATACATGTTCATATATTCAATTAATGTTTCGATCTTTCTCATAAAATAAAATCTCTTTACTTCAACAAACAAGATAGGAGATTTCCAGCGCCAATATTAAATAACCTATTATTTTCTGTATATTTTGAGGAATTAAACAACGTAATAATGCTGGAGCATTCTTCGATCAGACGATTAGTCTCGACGAGCCGCCAACAGACCCAGCAATTATGCAGAGCGATGTATGTGCTCACTTATGGGCATGTTCTCTTAACCCAAAGTTGGTAGCCCATATATTATCATGTATAGTATATATACACACCATGTATGCTGTGTACGCCTTTTTACACTAGCCTTCAATATCTGTGCTAATAGGAGTAGGCAGCCTTGAAGTCTATCCAAATACTATAAAGTAGTCTCATTTGAAAGTCGACATCCTAAGGTCGAAGCAAGGGTGTTCCTTCAACAGTTCATATAAATTTATACGTTTTACTCAATTTCGAAGCCAGGACCCGCTTTAACCACTGTGTGAGATTAGGGTAGTATTGATACCATGTACGCTTCTTATTAGATGATGTTCGTCACGACACAAGATCTACTAACAGCAGAAGAAGTAGCCCAACGTGAGGAGGAGATCCAAGCGGTCGTACGTTCCATTAACGAACTAAATGTCGTATTTAAGGTAAAATAAAATTTAAGGTAAATTTTTTTTATGTTTCATTCTACTCATTTCCAGCACTACTTCTCTAGGTGAGTTATTCTAATTATTCCGCTTTAATCTTCAGTATTTATCTAGTATCTCCTATCTAGGATAAAGGCAACGTTAGTACTTCGATAGTGTTTCTGCTGCCTTTCTGCTGACATCCTACTGCCTTTAGAGTGCACACGTTTAACTTTCGTTTACTTAATGTCATAATATATAGACGATCTTAGGGATTACTGTCAAGATGCTTGACTGGCAGTTTCAACAGGGAACCCCATTTGGGATTTTTAAGAAATTTGAATAGTTCTACTAGGCATTTTTAAGAAAGGCAGTGATTGTTCTCAGAACAACATGTCGCGAAATGCGCGCAATCTTAGCTTGTTTAACATTTCAATAATGGTAATATCGAGCAAAGGAGACTATTTTATGTACGAGAAGCTGAGTTAGAAAATATGTGTGAGAAAAATGTTTTCGGAAATTTCACTCCACAGGAGGTTGCGCGGCTGGTCGTTGAACAGGGTTCGGTTGTTGATCGAATTGACTATAACGTCGATGCCGTTCAGACTTCGGTGAGTCAAGGTCTCCAACAACTTCGGCAAGCAGCCGCCGCCTATAAACGAGGAAATGGCAAATTGAAGTGCATTGTCGGTCTCGCCGGTGTAACTTTGTTCCTAATCATTCTTCTTTTCATCACGAAACTTAGTTGAAAACAAAAACCCGATGGAGTTGGCCCCAAAGCCCCTAATCTGCCATGGTGTTAAGTGCGATCTCTTACGACGAAGAGTTTTTAAAAAAGCCAAAGTTAGAAAGCAAAAAGAAAATAATTATAAGCATTTCGCTACCCAGCGAATTGTTTCTATTTTAACATTAATAATAGTTTTGAACATTGGATAGGAGATTGTTGATGTTTTAGAGGAAAGCATTTGATATGAGTGAAGTGAAAATTTCAACACAGTAATGCCCAGTAATGCGCCGACAGATTCACAAAAGCCATCTATACTCCATGTACATACATATCATATAGCAGTATATATTTAATAATTAATAAATAATTATCACATATGAAGGACACGAGTTAACGAGGTGGAAGAATCGTGCAAACAGACGATGTCAAAGCAACACTTTTGCTGAGGTGATGAATATTCATAACGGTAATTAATAGCGTAAATGGTAGCTACGCTGAAAAAGAGCATCGGGTTTTAAGATCTAGAGGCACAATACGTCAAGTGATAGGGAAGAACCAGGTACACGACCGCGAGCGGAGAAATGAAAAAGAAAACATTGTTATGAAAAGGAGCAAAACCTAGCTTGAGCCAGAGATCTTGTTGCTGTTGTACTGTGCCGGTGTCTCAAATTGCCTCATTCGTCAACTGTATTGTGATATAAAATTATAAATATATTCTCTCTATATGTACACACAGAGGCCCCCATAGATATACTGGGGTTGTGTATTGTATTGATTGACGACGCAGCAGCAGCAGTCTGAAGCTGCATTGGGACATAAAAACGGTTGAATTGTGTTTCATAGACGCTTTGTTATGTATGGAGTGGAAAAAACCTTGTCGTGAAAAGATGATGAAGAAAGTCGTTGGAAATTAAAGCTATCTATTGCTAAACGCGATGATAAAAATGAAATGTAGACGTGAGTCAGTTATGCGTCAGTGTCTTTACTTCGCGATGCCGTCGGGATAGTAGAAATTGTGGATATTTGGGTGCTGCTATGTAGAGTAGGAAGGGGGTGGGAAAAAAGGGAAAACGACAATAAACTACATGCGTATTAGAATTTGTTGAGAAAGGTTATTCCAGCCGAAGCTGCCGCCGTAATAGTGTTATAAAATTATAATTCGATTATTTAGTATAGTAGTATATGATTAATATATTTCAAAGTCATGAGTAATTGGCAGCAATTGACGGTAAGGTCAATGACCTAACGCTAGTAAAGACGTCGAAAACCGAATGCAGTTAGTGGTTCGCGACCCGTATGAACATGACCAGATGTGCCCGTCAGTATCCAATATTAGATTCGTTCTATGGATTAACCATATGGAGCTCGCGCGACTTAAAATAAGGTTCCGGCGAAAACCTTCACAGTAGTTTTCGCTAGTCCCGAAAGACAGTAAAAAAACGTGTCCTACCGCTTGTGTTATAGTTTGTATTCATGAATCTCTTAGCGGCAGCGATCTCTAATGGAAATGTCGTTAAAACTATAGAGTAGCCGTACACCGAAGATAGTTTATGATGCACTCTGTGAGAATCCTAAAGCGTTTTAATAAGACGTCTCATAGATCTTTTACGCGCAGTAGTGCAAAAAAACGTATAGTATTGTGTGAGGCAGACAAGCTTATGCTAAAACCGATCTTGTCGTATACAGGGATAAACGAAAGGCGAGATAATCAATCGTCTGACACCGTTCTGTATATTTGGATACGTTTTTGACTGGTTTCAACACAATCCACGATGGCGTGTTGGCAATTCTTTTCTCCATGGTTGTATACATGAAGTCTTTCGCAAGGTAGACTTTCAGAAGTAGAATCCTTGTTTATGTGGAAATCTCGGAGGGGGCGGGTATGGTCGTGGTAGATTACTGTACGGCAATGGCTGCAAAAAACATTTGTTGTAACAACTGCAATGTCCAGTATTCGGGTAGCCCAGTCCGTAGCCATTGCGGTTTCCGGCACCATACTGAAGCTGATTCGCAGAAGACTTCCAATCGGACGGATAAAGAACTGTTGTCACAGAACGCCAATACGGTCCAACCTCATCTTCGGTGACTGTATTAAAGCCGCCTGGTAAACCGAGCTCCTCGTAAACCTTACTTTTGATTTGGGGCAAAGTTATAGGATATCGGAATGGGTTGTTCACAGGGTACAAATTTGGATAGATGTTCCGATTGGCTCTGATGCTGCAGTGTGGGCACAGCGCCATTGCGAATGAATTTTGTTCCGTACGTAAACGAACAAAGAAGCAACTTAATTTTGGTTAACAAGTGATGAATCCTATTAGTCGAAGTAGAAACATTGGAATATCACAATTTCGTTGTCACCTAAAATCAATTCATCCTATTCTATAGGCAACTGTCTAACAACCACTTCGTTGTGAATGACCCGTTGTAAATACCGCACACATAAAATTCTTCCGTCAAAACCCACATGCACAAACCTGCTAAAAAATACTAGAACTTTATTACTGTCAGGAAATAACAGGTTATCTTCGAAATAATATAAAAAAATTTGACGAGGGGTAATTCCGCCAAGAAGTGATGGGGGTAGGTCTTTGCGGATGTTGATCGCATTGTCCGCGGCGCGGCTCGAACAGCTAAGTTGAAATAAATTATGGTAAGCTCGGGCTGTGGGACTCACACACGTAGGGTTGCCCCTTTTAACATACAAACCCTAAATCAATTAATACAGTGAATTCGACCCCCAAAAATCCTAGAGAGTCACAACAGAGTTAAATTTTGAAGCCTATAGAAGGCGTCGTTAAGTCTGACTCACGCAATACTCTCTGGAAAAGTCCTTGAGTGAACAATCGATTGATGCGTCAGTATCCCTAGTTTGTGACGGCTTACAGCAGCTCCAAACTCAAGAACGCTCAAGCAACGTCGTTTTTGACTTAGCGCATGAGCATGAACATGCAGATAGAGATAGCCCGTTGGTTTAATATGCAAAATGTTGATTCAAAAAGTGAATTAAAAAGTACCCGCTAGAAAAACGGAACTTGAAAAAATAACCGAAAATAACTTATCATCATAACATGGTATTTCCGCAATTTGAATACATATCCACAGAATCGAGTCAAATTTTTGTCAAAATCCTGCTTTCTTAGATATCACGAACAACCTATTTTTTTGAGGAGAAATCAGCCACGCCTTCACGCTGACCGTCGTCGCCTTTTTTCATCGCTGCTTGTGGGTCACTACATCTAGTCATTGTTACAACGTCCATTAACGCATTTATATTAACCTCAGATTACTAGGCAACTTCCAGCAAACGTCCAGAGCATTTAAGTCTAGCCAAAATTAACAGTTTCCTGCACACTAAAGACACCACATTTCTGAAATGGGACTTCTCCGTGAACCGAGTGCTTCACTCGGTCTCCATTACCATGCAGTCATAATAAGGTTAATTGCCTAAAGTCTCAAACTACGTGGACTTTGTTGCCAAATATGCAAGGATATGCTTTTGTACATGCAATTCAGTTAATAGTTACCTATATCCCTGCCAGATGTCACAGGTTAACTAAGAGGAACAAGTTAAATTTACGACAGTTACATCTAATGTGCCGCAATACCTTTATTGTTTTCAGCGTTATCTAATGCTAATACACATATAAGAAAACGTCGCAATGGCCAACTTCAGCGTTATCTAACGCTAATACATATATAAGAAAACGTCGCAATGGCCAACTTCAGTAACGGGTTCAATAACCAGGCACATGAATAAGAGGTAATTTATTTTGATGTTTTTGAGGGTGTGAGCCTTTCGATCTATTAATAAACATCCCGAAACTTGATGCGCTAAGGGACGTATGAATTTTATAATGGTATTCATGAACAATTGCTGGAGTTCATAATTTTGCTTTTATGCAGCTACTCAGTTTACTACACCTTCTTCGAACGTAGCCATTGCCAACAACAGTATCATCATCCGCATCATCAACATCATAGTTATAATTAAGCTTCACCGTGATTTTGTGAAGCTTTTCATTGCCCCCATTGATAAACGCGATACCTGGAATGTGTTGGTGGCGCTGGAGGTGGAGGTGGGGGCGGAGGCAGCGGTGGATTCCCAGAGGGTTGTGACGGTGATGTTAGCGAGAAAGGAGGAAACGGAATTGCATGGGGCTGCGCATGAGAAGTGTACAAGTAGCCCGAACCTTTGAACCAATGCGATGGCGAAGGGTACGTTTGATGACTGATCAATGGACTGGAAGGTGGGGCAGGAGGAATTTGCTGATCTGAATATAGAGCTGAACACCGATTCAAATATTCTTCGTCAAAATTAGTGTAATCAGAATTTACTGGGATAATCGAGTCTATGGGATTAAACGTTGTGGAAGGCTGTGGCCATGATACCTTAGCCTGTGGTAGTGGTCCATCCGGCAGAGCCGATGGCTGGGATGGCGTTTGCGTTATGTTCGCCTTACACGTATCTGCGTTCAATTGTGCTGGCACAACAGACGTGGACATTACCATTGTGGGGACGTCACCATAAGATTTACTGGCATAGCCACCGTGAAGGGAATCATGGTTATTGTTCACCGATTCTGAGGCAGTGGGCCAACTCCATTCCCACTGTGAAGACTGTTGCAGTCGTTGCAAATAGGACCTTTTCGTACATGTTCCGTTAAAAGCATAGCCATTTTTATCCATATTGCATCCACCCTTTAATTGTTTTGATCTGGAACGCGATTTTCCTAACAACCAACGACCAACGAGGTTGTCGTGAAGGCTGCCGCGAACTATCGGGAAGCAACTCACCTTCGTTATATAAATAATTCCATGGCAAGCACAGTGCTGCCATATAAGGATTACTGCTGCCGACTATGTAGCTACGCCTTCAGATTTGATGATTTACGACTAGTCGATTAGCGGATTTAAGAAGGTTGGGGGGTGCCAGTATATTTGTTGGTTCTAATTTTGGGGGTTGGGTGTATCAATGATCCGACTAGCTTCGTTTTTTTATGTCACTAGCTTGTGCATCGTTATACTCATTGTCACAGGAAAACAATGATTTTTGTATTTAATATGGGCTGGGATGAAAAAGGCTAATTGCAGGCACATTTAACGAAAAAGATGTAACGCAAACATAATCGTGTGACATTTATGTAGATTCACTCTACGAATCCATCTATCGAAATTTATTGGGGCGCTGGTAAAACATCAAAGTCTACCAATAGCGTAAGAATCTCGATCCGCAAAAAACCCAGTGTGCTTGCCCTATAGCCGCAAGGCCTTAAAGTACGAGCCAACCATTCCAGATAAGGGAGTCATAATAGAAACAAAAGAATACACCATCGTCTTCATTTAAAAAGACATTCCCTTAAGAACCTGAAATGAGTGCAATGCTAGCAGTATAGTAACGGCTGTCAGCTCAATAGCTTCAATATTTTTAGTGCTTTATTGTTAGAAATTTCTTCAAATGGCTGACTCCCACTATAAAGCAGTGTGTCTATGCCACGATTCAAACCTGACCCATCACATGTCCCCAAGTTTAACATGCTATCACCTTGCCCATTACGCTATCACAGAGAGCTTGGCAGTTTGAACAGATTTTTTCGTGAATTTTTATTTCCCCTCGCGCCTGCCTCAACCGAACCTACAGCTCTCACTCTTCAGCGGGATTGTAACGTGTCTGCTATGCCTACAGCGCGCTATTTTTTGTTCGTGGTACCATCTGTGGTACTAGTTTGTCTGATATGTGATACGTTCCCCCGCCATATTGTGAGTCAATGGCTGGTGGCGCTAGTGTCACACTGACCAAAGATACACTCGAGAGCAAAAGCTAAAGACAGTCTGACCGTCTGTATTGCAGGCAGTAATAGATTCTCTTCCAAGTTGATTAGTGATTTTGTGTGAGAGCAAACCGATTTACGGTTGCGTGTCTGGCGTAGAGCTACAATACCGTACTGGTCTCGGCTCTTCGAAGTCATTCTTGTGCTATTTCTTTATGTGTGGACTACGATTGTGGTGTGTTTTTGTGTATGAACTATTTGGGGAAAACGTGCTGGGTAGTTTTTGGGGCTTTTCATCATTTCAGGAAGTTTGTGTTTGCGGGTGTTGTGTGATGTGAGCATTTACAATATGCAGTATTAGTCTTCTTAACACAATTCACACAGACGTAAAGCAGTCTTCGTCAGCAAACCTATCTGTAAGTTTTCATTAGGTAATTGATAATCGAACAGCAGTAGCTCGAGAACAATGGCGCTGCTGTGATCTTAATTAGAAGAGCATTCTTTAGGTCACGGCTAAGCCGATAACGTGCAGGGCTGCTAACTGGCATTCAGTCGCAGATTTTCTACGTGTAGCTAAGTAGCGTGAAAAACCCAACTCACTATACGGCGCCTATATGTTGATGCTCGTATAGCGCACTGAAATGGAAGACCATAGAGGTTTGGTATGATTTGTACACTACACTGTACAGCTGTTGGAAATACATAAAAATTCCGTTCGCGAGAATGGCCAGGTAGTGGGCAAGAAAAGCCACTGTGTATACCATGGCGTAGGTCTATGGGTATGATGCTTTCTTCATGTAAATCCAGCGTGCAACTTGCTTGGCCATTCCAGTGACTCAGTGCCGTCCGAGGCGTCATCCCGTACAGCTTTTACATGTATTGTAGAATATATCGATTCCTTATTATAACGCGTTGTGTGGTAAGAGTCAGCATAAAAACTTCATGTGCCGATCATAGATTTGCAAAAAAAAATGCTGTCGTGTAAACAAATAACGAAACGATAGCTCTCGTATGACCTTAAAAGCTTCGCAATGAGAAAAGATTTGCCTTTAATTATCGCTTTTATCCACGCTGCATACGATAGGAAGCCTGCTGGGCGAGGTTACTCGATCTAGAGAAGATATAATTTAGATTGGAAAGAGTTCTACAAACTAATATCCTGTGAAACGTAGGTTTCAGATCTTAGTCGGAAGTTGGATTACAAATTGATGCTTACTGGTGTGACCTATCCTACCGATCAGCTATAACGTCTATTCAATTGCATTGGTAAAATTTAAATCGACAGAACGTATTGTCGCTTTCGTCCTGCCGCAATATGGACGCTCATTTGAACGTTGCGGAACTACCTTTGCCACCTGGGCCTCCGCCACAAAGACCTGCCTGGGAAAAGGCCATGGAGGAATTAGCTAAGGTATGTATATGATGTTCGATCCCGTTGAGCTCAAACTATCCTTTTTACTATGGTTTATTAATCTTGGCATTTTAAGCAAATACCAACTTTATAATGGGGTTTTCAAACAAATACTGTGGACACATACATTATCCAGTTTTTCAATGTTGTCCAGGTTAACCCTCGGGCAGCGGCAGCTCCACGAGTGCTCAGCTCAGCCACGACACCGTTTCCACCTGCCCAGATGGACGCGTTTACTGGTAGTTGGGGATCCCCGGGCTTTGGAGCCTGGGCACCGCAGCAACAACAGCAACAGCCAAACACCCGACAACCTAATGGACCATTTCCCGTAGACATGAGTGGCGCTGGTGTTGGTTTTCCGCCGGTGTACGCGCCCTTAGCTGGAGTGCAGGCTCCCGCTTGGGGTTGGGGTGTAGGTCCTCGTCATAGGTCGTCCAGAAACAATTTCAATGGCGCGCAACAACATCGGGGGAGTTCGATCGGGGCCAATCGACTTGGCAATGGTAGGCTGGCTACCTGTAGGATACTGTAAACGCGGCAATTCGCTCTAATGATTACGAACACTTTATCGCTCACTAGATGACTCCACTATTATTAGCTGCGGGTACCTTCTTCCAGTGATGCTCATTCTATTTTGTTTTGCGTTTTAGGTGTTGTTCGAGGGGATATGGTTTCGTCTATGGGTCTCGTGAATCACATAAACAATTCAACAGAAATTCTAGGTAAGGCGAATATGAATAGCAGTGGAATGGTTCAACATTCCCCGTCTCCGACAAGTCAACAAACACAGCAGCCGTATCGAGGTTCACAGCCCGGCGTTACTGGAGGTGCCGAGTTACAGGTTGGCAACGGCATGAAAATGTCAATTGTCAATGGCACTACCATGCCACAGACCATAGGAACTTCCACGGGAAACAATCAACAGAAACAGCAGGCTGAAAGCGGCAACAACGCGTCGACTGGATCGTCATACCTCACCGAATGGCCTATTGCTCTACAGGACTACACGCGCCGATCGTTCGCGAAGTGCAAAACTGAATTTGATAAACAACAGGTTGAGATTATTATTAGAGGTGAGTTTTTGTTTTTATTTTCGAAGTTTCTAGCGTAAAATGTGGGCCATTTATGAAAGACATTATTAGAATGCATTATAGTAGAACGAAAAACCTCTTCCCTTCAAAAGACCCCAAAGACAAAAGACCACAATTACGAATTCGTTTGGTAGGTGCCTAAATTAACACGACCGATTGCTTAACTTTTGGGAGTGCGTTAGCGTAAAGTATGCTAAAGAATAACGCTTTTGTTTTGTTTGTTTCCTTAGGTAAGGTGACTGCTGCGACGGATAGCAAACGATTATGGACGCACGATTGGGCAAACGAGCCCCTGCCAAAGGTATACAGTGAGACTGTGGAGGAATCCCGTCGTCAGGAAGAAGAACGCGTCCAAGCAAAAGCTAACGCGGAACGACAACGCCAGGAACAGATAAAACGAAGCAAGGCTGAGCGAGCTAAACTGAAGGCTGAAGCTGAACGACAGCGGCAGGAACAACTCAAACAGCAAAAGGTCGAAGCTGAGCGACTTAGGCAATTGAAACGAGCCACTAAAAACGAACCGCCACACTCGAGATTATCTAGCGGCAAGGACAAACGGTCGTCATTGAACGATAGCATCAACGGTCATCGTAGTGACGCAATAGAAGAGGACGATGATGATGATAAAAGTAGCCTATCGAGGTCTAGAAGGTCGTCGGAAGTCGTGATCAGAAGTGAAATTAATAGCGAGCGACAACGCCTGGCCGAAGCTATGTCAAGGCTAAGCGGTGATGACCTCAGGTTGATGGTTGGGTCGTTAGGAGCGGCGGGGTTAGGGAACAAGCAAAACAACAAATCAGAGGGAATTTCTTCAGCTTTCAGCAAACAAAGCCTTTCGGGTAACAGGGTTAGTGGCCGTGGTAGTGAGTGGTCGAAGGGCTTACATGCTAGCAGCAGCAGCAGCAACAACGCCAAGAAAAATCAGAATGATAAATTGAAAAAACGATTTGCGGGAGATGAGTTGAAGACGAGTCCCAGTCAGTTGCAAAAGAGAGCTCGGCGTTTTGCTAACAACAATGACTCCGCGTCGCCAAGCGGATCTGCTAACGGAAAACCTATTCGTAAGACCGACATGACGATGAACGCGACGCTATCGGATAACTACAATTGGTACGAGGATTGGTCAGGTGCGCCGATCGAAGGAACTTGTCAGGACATTGAGAAGGCCTATTTCCGTTTGACATCGGCACCCGATCCTAGTAGTGTTCGACCAGTCCATGTTTTGCGCCGGTCGCTGGAACATATTAAAAAGGCGTGGATTGCTAAGCAAGATTATCACTACGTTTGCGACCAGCTCAAGTCTGTCCGACAGGATTTAACTGTACAATGCGTGCGTTCGCTATTCTCGATTGATGTTTACGAGACGCATGCTCGAATCGCTCTCGAGAAAGGCGACCACGAGGAATTTAACCAATGCCAAACTCAGCTGGCATCACTCTACGCAGAGTTTCCCGATGCGCGCCACCGATTAGAGTTCGCGGGGTATAAACTGCTCTATCACGTCTTCACTCGGAACGTTTTAGGTTTGTATACCGCGAACTTCTTCCTAAGAAATTTTAGGTTTTCATTTTGATTTTATTTGTTTTGGTTTCATTTTTTCAGTAATCATTAATTCCAACCGATGTTATTATATATCGTAACAAATTCGAGTCAAAGCTCGTAACAGTACCCTAGCTCAAATTTTTAATGTAATAACTCTGCCACCTTTTTTTAGAAATCCGTTCCATTGTTTTCATTGGTAGTATCAAAAAGTTAAGATAACTGTACAATCAAATTGTTTTTTTTATTTGAACTGTTTTTGATTACGTATGGTTTTTCGTCGTTCTAGATATGAACAAGACCTTGGCGTCTCTGAGTGCTGAAGAGCGGTCCCATCCGGTGGTCGCGCACGCGGTGAAGGTTATCTCTGCTGTGAACACCGACAACTATAGTCGCTTCTTCAGGCTGTACCAGGATGCCCCCCGAATGGGCGCTTACATCATGGAGTGGAGCGTGGGCAGAATGCGCATTTTGGCCTACAAGGCCATTTTGAAAACGTATGTAGTGGTAGGGTTGCTGTCAGAATCGACAACAGGCCTGCGAGAAGGATTGTAAGCAAGGCATGGGAGGGCTAGTTTTGGGTTCCAGGGTGGAATTTTTAAATGGGTTTTTCAGTTTGCTTAAGAGCAGCACCTCTTGTTTGCTGAAATTAGGTAGAGAATCCTCTCCGAGTGGATCCTGTATTGAGAGATATATTGACATAAAGGGGAGTATAACATCGACGATGAAGATATTCTTTCCTTTGAGGATAAATTCCTGCAGCAACGTTCAGCATCGCTTCTAAAAAAGAAAACCAAGAAGTGGCCTGTTATACCTGCCGTTGTGGATGACCATCAACAGCCGCGTGCATATCTCTTCGTACTATGTCATCTGTTGTCAGCAGACACATGAGCCACAGGATGAGAACATTAAAGACTCTCAATAGTGAAGTACGCCGGACACCAATTACAGGAAAAACCGTTCGAAAACGGGAACTTTTCGACCGAAGTTCTCATAAGCCTACGCACATATTCTGATTTTCTCTACTGTAATCGATACAACTCTCAGTGAAATTCACTGTTCTGTAAACGGAAATAACTGGTATAGTCCGCAAATAACTACTCACAGCTTGCCTCCTTCAGGTCAGCGTAATGCTGACTGATGTTGGCGGCAGTGACAGAAGAGTCAAATGAGTACTTAGTCGAACGTGATTTAATTTGTGAAATGATGATAGTGATGTGTCGAGACGTGACTATCTCGTTATGCAAACACGAATTTATGACTTGGTGGAGAGAAGTCTAAGCAACGGTCTGCAGCATCGATCTTGCAGGGCACTGTTGCAAAGACACTCTTTTACCGCAACAAGCCGAGATTGGTTGGCCTATAAAACGAGATGGTCGTTAGGGGTACTTATTTTTATCTTTAAAGACGGTCAACTGGGCGTGTGATCAAGAAAGATTGACTTTTGACTGTATCTAGCGTTACATGTATAGATATATAGATCAGGTTGAACGCTAACCTTTCCCTTTCAGCAAGTATTACCGGCCGTAAGTTTCGTTACCACTTGATTTACATCGTTTTATGTAGGTCAATGTATGCGCTTCAGCGTTCATACGTGGAGCTTGCAGTGAACGTATTTAGAACGGAGACCACCCGGTTTTAAGAAACAGTAACAAAATTGGCGGTTTGTTATAATGGCGGTCGATTTGGTTGCTGTTACTGCAGTGGTACCACTTAACTGAAAAAAAAATAACGCACATTTTGCACCCATAAGTATACTTATATATACATTTATTATGCCGAAGTTAAATGATATTGTTATTGGCATTTCTTATTTAATATTAACACCAGTTTTGCCATTTACTATTCTAATTAAAGCTTGAAACAACAGGCGAATGTAATACTTTGATGACTAACGTGTGTCTGTTGAATGATTCTAGATTCCGGCCAGGAGTTTCGGTGACTTACCTAGAGAAAAGCCTGCTCTTCCCAGGACGTCTTGAGCTTAAGGCGTTCCTTGTCGAACAGGGCGCCGTGCTAACGGCTGATCAGCAGAATGTCGAATGCAAAGAGTCCCTTGCGCGTATGTCGTAGAAAACAAGACGCAGTGGCGTATTCGGTTTTCGCTTGACCCAGAGAGTTAAGGAAAAGGGATTAGGTGTCCGAAATGCCTTGCCGTGACCCTGTGTCACTAAAAGGCTGTTAACCCTTCAACACCTCTAGCTCATGAGTGGCGATCATCCAGTGTCTTTGTCGACTGCATTTAGTCACGATTTCTCCTTCCGCATCCTTCGTTCAGCAGCGAGAACCATTTCAATTAAAGAAGCACTGTTGTTCTCTGACAGCGGTTCGCTTTGCCGTTCGCGTCACGTGCGCTATGGCCTTCCGTCTCAGGCTCGTACCGTTTCATCAGTCCCGTTATGTTGCCAAGAAACGGGACCGTCTCCATGGTCATAGATGAGACCGTCACATCGATGCTGCTCGAAGTGGTCGCATAAGGCGAGCTGACCTATCCAAAGCGGTTGGATCCCTTATGTAGACCTGTATTGGACTGTCCCATGCCTTGAACATATGTTGTCTTCTATCCCATCGACACGTATTATCTGCTCTGTGCGATTAGGCCTTTGACATCTGTGAAAGTCTGTCGCTTACATCGATATTGGTGGCCCTCTCTCTTTTCATTCCTTCGCGCTAAGCCTACGTACTCGGCTATCGCAGGCGTAGTCTGAGTGCACTTATATCCACTACCAGATGAACTTAAGCACGGTTCATGATTCACAACAGCAACAACGATGTACTTCAAGAGTGTTGTTGGCCGTCAATGCCAGCTCTGTTTTCTTATTTAATAGGCATGTGCAGTGAAGGGTTTCGTGCGTTAACTAGTGGCAGAGCTGGTAGAACGAAGAGGGCTTGACCAAGCTTCTAGCATCGTATCTCCACAGGCTCCGAAAGAAAATGGTAACATCTGACTATGGTACAACGAAAACGGTCCTCTTAGATGTGGCATGTTCACAAAATCTTTAACCTATCACAACTGGAAAGCCGTAAATGGAGCAAGGAGCAGAAGTTCTGAAAATTTTTGATATTCATATTTAAGGGAAGACCGCCTCCTACTTCCTCACTCGTTGTGCCTGTGCCAACTGGCACTTCTGCAACCATAGGTAACTTAACACCAAAAAGGTACGAGGGATTTAGTAGGAAGAGCAGGCAATTGGCTCTATCGGAGATTGCGATGTCGTCAATTCATCGTTATTTCAGCGAACCATAACAAACATCAATGGCAACAAGGAAAGATGACATAAACAAATTAAGTTGCAAGAAGTTCGAAGAAGAACTGTGCCCGTCTGTCTGTACGAGGTCTGAGAAGGAGTCTAGCAGCAAGTCGTAAGTAAATTGAAATGGATGATGGAAAAGATGCGGCCATTAGTGGTGAAGAATGACCGTAGCGTGGTAATGACAACAAAAGGCGAGATCGCGATTTACGTAAGTGTAATAAGGCTATTACAATATTCAGCAACACAATAAGTGATGATAGGGTGGTGGTGAACGTTGTAAATCCGGCAAGACCATATGATTCCATCGATCTGCCCTAGCAGGAACCATTATTACCTATTATTACTGCAGCATAACATCGATAGGACAGCAGTGATAGACAGCACTGAGGTGAGCGGGATGATATGGTGGCGATTGGTGACGTCTTGGTCACAGCTATCCATGCGACCATTTTTTTTTTAATTTCTTCGTATGAAAACGACAATACACGACTTGAAAACATACCAATATAAATTAGTGCAAAAACAATTAACGAACCGTTAACGCAGGCATGCGAATGTGCGTGGCCATAGACGGCCCTTACTAGATGTGTTAAAACGCGAGGCGACAGCAAGGGAAAGCATGTCGGCAACTGAAGTTGAAAACATAGCTATATTTAGTAGTGAGAAGCCCCCATCAGTCTAAACGAGATTGGACACTATGGTGGCTGTATAATAACTTACTATAATAGAGATATGTCCTTAGACTATATACTTTGACTCGTAGTTACATTCGTTGAGCACAATGATCAATAATATCTTTGATGTGTCCAACGTTTACATATATCGAACTTCTCCGATATAAATGCTTTAACGCTGTTCTCTTATTGCTTTCTGCTTCTATATGCACAGTCATCATTTGGGAGAAACGGAAGATGTACACTTTTTTTGTAGCCATCATTGTCCAGCCTAGTCTCTACCCCCCCCCCCCCTCAAACACATACCTCGTTCTCTGCTTGGGGCCCCTTTGGGGTGCCTTAATGAATGTATAGAGAAAAAGCGAGTGAGAGGAGCTTATAATTATACGTTGTTAACAATTATTTTCATACTGATAATAATGATACGCCATACACTTGCATTAGATGACATTAAGACATTTAGCCCATGGTATAATAAAGTGGCGCGCAGAACTATTGCTCTAAATGGAGACTGCGGAAAATGTCCACTACAAAGAGAAAGCCCGTCCCCTTTAGCAATTATCGCTTTAATTACTTCGTGGCATTAGTCCAGTACAAGGAAAAAGAACATAATAATAATAATAATAATAATAAAAGCATTGGTTTATCATTTTTTGTATATAGCACTACGCCTTTCCGTTTCTTCGATTGTGCCTGCAACTTAGCAGCTGGCTTTGTTTTTCGTAGATATTGTCCTATCCTCTGTCAAGTGTTATAATGATATGTTATTACCGTGTGGTTTGTTGTTCTGATATGATAAGAATAAAACGGAGAGTGCCAAATCTAGGTGGTACTAGCCACTCCGGCACAATTCCTTGTCTAAATAGACAGCAACGTTTTTTACGCCAGCAGGCCCAAAACAGTAGGGATTCTGGCCTTATCTGTAGACTGACTGAAACGCTCAACAGGGATAGCGGGATTTGAGACAACAGTTCGATGTTCTTACTGTATAAAACCTTATACATATGAAAAATAAAGGCGTATCCAATGGGCTAGTAGTGAATAAAGAGGCGAATTAAGAAAGGGTCGCGTTTGCTAAATTGTGTTCTCATTTTTGACAACTTAAGGAATATATAGCTGGAACTTAGTTTAGTACTGGTGTTTTACATCTACAAACCGAGTTTTAGTCGGAATCTACTAGAGTTATACTATGATGAATATACGTTATGATAGATTGTGTGTAAATCAGTAACGTCCTTTTATACAACCGTACCGTTGCAAGGCTGATCTATTTTTGGCTCGGGGCTTCGATTGTCGATCTGTCGAAATACCCTTCAATAATTGGTTAATATGTAGTTCATGTACACATAAGTTCGAGTAGACAAAAATTAGAGACACTTAGAACATCAATTAGAGACTGCTAATCATCAGCTACATGACAAGCTTAGCCAGACAAAAATGGCTTTCATTGTGAACAGGAATCAACCGGAGGGATTGTTTCAGCTGCCTTCTGTGAGACGAACAGTGTCATAAAGACGTTCCGATACGACAAATCACTACCCTCTTGTAATACCTTCGGTGGCTATATGGAAATTATTGTAATGCTATTCTATATAGATTTACTTTTAAAAGACTAAGAAACAGAAAAGAATAAACCTTTTTGGCGTTACGAATAGTTGAGAACTATCGTGTGTAATGCTGCGGAACCGGAAATAGCTGTACAAGAGAAAAACAAAAATTGGGGGTCAGGAGGTTAGGTAATGAGTCATTTTTATTGGATAAGTTGTTCATCCAAGGATCAGTTAATTCATGAGCTAGTTAACATAAAAAAGTTAAACACTAACTAGACAGCAGTGCGGGGTTTTTGTTAGTTTCGCTGTGCAGTCAGGGTGGATTCCTTGCATTGTAGCCGACACAAACACTCATCATCCTCTGTTCAGTAACGTAGTTTTTAGATAGGTAGAGCATATATTGGCCGCAAGGAGCATAATTTCATGTATACTTTCATCGATTTCGGCAAGCTGAGGTTGAAGAATCTCTTCAAATACACGTAGTCTGAAATGGGCATCATATGACTTCATAGCAATCACACCTTGCCAACTGGTTAGATAAACTTAAGAAACACAGTTATTAGGGTACGAAAAACTGAGGTTATTAATTTCAGCTAATCTGTTTTGTAGCTACAATAGCGTTCAGTATGAGATGGCAATATTTCTTCATAGTTAGGTCTCCAGAGGTTTTTTAGGTAGCATATTCACCTAGCATTTTTGCTGAAGCCTTCGATCGGCTTCGTAGATCGCTAGAAATTATCTTGATGTGATGGGCGACGTTGAATCTTACGGAGATTTCTAACCTCATAGCGACAAACGATGTCAATACGATAACAATATGAATATACGATGACAATTTTAATTAGGATGTTAATATTAACGTTATTATGAAAGAAGAGACGCTTGCCGAGTTTAAAATGTTTAGCAGAAAAAATAGCTATATTTATTCTTTTCTCTTGTAAAAACTCCATAGTGGCAAAGGCGAAGATTTTGAGCAATATTTTCAGGATCGTCCACGATAATTGAAGATTTAAACTAGCCATACAGCGCGTAGGTCTCGATTATTGCTGGATCATTTTCGTCCTCCGACACTGTGTATGCAAATCTGATGTATCACATAATCAGGCAGTTTGTGTGCTAAATACAATGCACGTTATAGCTCGATTGTTGTATATGGATTGAGGTAACAGCTGTATTATTTGGCAATGTCAGCTACGTGGCGCGCGTATCGACCGCGTAATAAAAACAATAGAGTTAACATTGATATATGAACTTAATTTAATGCGTCGAATACATTTTGTTGCAAAATAGAATGAGCCGTCATCAAAGCGCACTACGCGGTTAACAAAAACTGAAGTAGTTGACATAACACACAAAATTGTTATTTTCTGTTGTTCATTGTCGCGGTTTAAATAAACGGGCCCGGTGTCATGTTTAAAACACGAGATTTATAATACGAGTGTCCAAAAAGTGTTCCTTATTTCAAAATATGCAATGTAGCTCTCACAAACCTATTTACGCATTGTGTGAACGGCACTTCAGGTCTCCGCCGTAAATTCTCGGAGTATCAAAAGCTTCCAAAGCGGAAGTTTTCCAACGCGGTAGCCCCTTGTGGTACATTACTTCTTTTTAGTGACCCTTTCTGACACTCTTGAAGTACATTTTATGGAACTTGTCATCTATGCGTCTTAAAATAGATCTTTCAGCAGTACATACAGGAGACATTTGGTAAAAAAAAGATGAGTCTAGTGACTGTTGCTGCTCCTGCTCTGGATTCACTCATAAATGAAACAAAAGTAAGCAGAAGTCATATCAAGTTTTTCTTCTGTAAAACGGAATTGATCTTTATCTTTTACCGCAATAATTTAAAAATGCGGCCTACCTGTATTTTAAGAAATTGCTTGTTTCTATCGTATGCTACCCGGAATTCGCCTATATTTACTTTTTGGGCGCACTTACCCGTATGCATGGAATCACCATTAACAGCGGACAGTTAGGAGAGTAAGTGAATCATCAATTGAATTGCGGGTGATTCAGTAATGTCTTTTTATGTTGTACTCCACTTCTGTTTTATCTGTTCGTATGATTCCAAATGTTTCTTTTAGAATAATAAGAGAAGACAACGACACACAATCTGCAATTATTCTGGCACCGAGTCTGAAGTGCTGTACGATATGTGTCCCTAAACGATATTACCGCGTTTCAAAGATGGGCCGTATAACGAGACTACGCTTGGGGAATATATTGTCATTGTTCACAAGATAAAGAAATCACTTGTATATACATTTTACATACGATTTATACTACTTAGCTAAATAATACTGACATGCGATACAAAGAACAAACAACATCGCCAGTCAGCGTTTGCTCTGTGCGGGGATCTACTTATTTCTTATAGGCAGCTGATTTATGGTTGAGCAACACCGGTGACCCTCTGCGCTCTATAAAAAAAATATTTTTTCTTTTATCAGGGCAGCTTGTCACTTCTTGCCATCCATTCGTCTGCCAAATTGAAGCATGCACCGAAGCATTTGGATAAAGCTTTTTGGTTGTTCACTATATCCGTATCGGAGACCCGTGAGCTGGGCGCAATAGCTGCACATTGCAAGCGTTCATATTGAATATGACGAGACTTGGGTATTAACTATTAAGGGTAAGATGTTTGGATTGGAGAAGAACGTCTAATGAATCAGAACGCTTCCTTAAATGTTGTCATCATAAACGTGGCTAGTAAACGACATTAGGCGCAAGCCATAACTTGTCACGCAGGGCCAGCACGGCAAATAAAGGTAAGATGCTTGAGTACGTCAACTCCGGAAAAATCGAGATGGGACATCTTCCTCTTCGTTATTTGCGAACTGCAAGGTATAAAGCATTTCACGGAAAAATTCGCTAAGTCCAAAAGCCACAAAGGTCATGATATCTATGTAACATATGTGAAATTCCCCGCACGCCGCAGAGATCGGTTAACTACCTCAATTTCTGTAAATAAAAGGAAAATGACAAAAAACATGCGACAGTGTTATTGTTTTTGTTTATTTAGGCTTGAAACAGAAAATATAGTTTTCCGACGGGCTTACGCCGTCTCATCCATTAGCTAACATCGCAACGTATGTATCCCTGAACATCGCCAGTAAATGGCTCCCGCTGAGTTGATGGCTAATAAAACACGTTTCGTTGCAAGCCATATTGAAAGCCAAACCAAAGAATGTCAAGAAAAAAACGAAAAAAATACCAAATCGTTACACTGGCGTGCAAGGTATGCTGAAATAAGACCTAAGAAAAATTTATCTACGCTTGCTTAGCTTTGTTTCTCGCAAAGGAAGCAAATTCATTCAAACTGATCGCCATTATCACCTTTTAACAGTAAACAAACACATTCTGATGTATCATTATGATCGAAGCTATGGTGTATCTCACTCTTCAAATTAAGTCTTCAAGCATAAGAGGAAATGTCTGGAAAACAAATGTTTTTATTATCTTTAGTTTTTTAATGTATTCTCCCTTATTTACTGTATGTTTACAAACTGCGGAAAATATATCAGACACTAGATTGACAGATCCATTATGTGTACCTGTTAATTTGCTTGTTGTGACCTCTTTACTTCATGCCTTTTACTTGTCATGGCTATACCTAGACCTACTGCGAAAGGTTCTTTACAGATTTTTTTGCATGGAGTTTTGAGTTGAAAATGTTGTCATTGTAACCTGCTATTTTCGGATGTACATAGGTTTCATGTGATGCCTTTACCTTGCCTAAACAGGATAAGAATTTATCTGTTGAAGGTACCCGATGCCACCTTAAAGCAAAGTGCTTTTAAAACCTGTTCGTCGCATTGAATGTGTTAAAATGCATAATTTTTTTGTTTCCAAGGATCGTTAGTTTATTACAGGTTAGAGCAAGCTAGATTTAGAACAGGTAGGTAAGGAAGGTCGAGAGACGGCCGATTGCGGTTGCTGCTGCGGCTAAGTATTCGATAGACATATTTGATTTTGCTGATTTGTTATGCATATGTATGTTATAGGCGTGGAACGTCACCTGAAAATAAAATAGCAAGGGGTTAGGTTCTTAGTATATGACGTGTGCCCATTTAAGGCACACGAATACGCTAATCTCCATTAAAAACCTTTAAACAATGATTGGCCACCCTGTAAATCCGTTACTGAAGTTAAGGTTTTCAGCACTGAGGTGAACGCAATTGGTTTGGAGCTCTCACGAGCCAGCCGTCTGAAGCGATATTTATTTAACGGCTGTGCCGGTAGTAAAACTTCCAACAGTTAACATTAAACTGGTCACCCTCTACCATAAACAGTGCTTATATCAGTGAAAAAGAAAGCCTCTCTCGTACTTGAGTTAAAGCAACGAACTGCAATGGCACAATTAAGTTGCACTCTTGAAATCGTTGTCTGAAAGCTTTATCCAGTTGTTATAGTCACTGTCCAGCTTACATCTATTTAACAGCATTTCTGTACGAAACATGCATCAACATCTACAGCATGAACCCTAGTGCATGTGAATTTTCACAGAATATAAAAGCATTAGCAAAAATATATTTCATCTATCTGTCAGATCATACTTCTAGAATGAGTGTGCATTATTTCCATATAGTAATTTTATGCATGTATGTCAATAGATCCAATCGAGATAACTAAATAGCCTAGGAGATTTATGGTAGTTTACCACTAGACTTTGGGAAAAAAATATTAGCTACTGCTTGCAAGGTACATACGTACATCCCTGTCAGGCTTCGAACAAAGTCTGACAAAAAATAGTAAAGTGTCTCTATCGTTCAATTTATAACCGAGATTCTCGGAACATCCAAGCCGAAACTCATCAATATTTATAACCTATTCAATCTCATTGCACTTTTATACTGGTTGATTAGCTTTTCAAAATATTTGCGCTGGGGAATGGCTGCAGCTTGACGGCAAATTAGATATTTCTTCCTATCATCCGGAATATGGGGAAATATAGCAGCAAAACGAACCTCGGTATTTCGCCTCGTCTATCATTGATTATTAAACTTGTAATATTAAATGATTCTGACAGACGATAGTGTTACTTATTCACTCAGCAAACGACAATGCCATAACTGAAAATGAACAGTTTAGCATCTAAATAAGTCATCACTATACAACAAACGAAATATGAATTTGTTTGTATTTTATAGAAACGGCTCATGTCATTAGCACTTGACTGGCGGCTAAGTGGATCATGCCGTTCGTTCTACACGACAAGTGCACAAACGATGTCTGCACGAGCGATTTAACTGCGATTAATGAAAATTTCCATCGTTATTAAGGATTTAATTGTTTTACCTACATTTGTGTTTCAATTAATCTTACTGCGACCCCCCCCCCCCCCGCCCAATTATCAAGTGCAATCGTAGATAATTAGGGCGATATTCGTTCCAACTTGCTTTTCTGTCTGTTTCGATTTCCTTTCGTCCGGTGAGTAAACAGGTTTTGTCTTTCACTTGGATATAGCAGGCAGCACGTAGCATGCATGTAAGCTTCGAGTGGCCGCGGTCAAAAATAGAAAAGATGTTTTCAGCGCCCTCTACGGAGGGCACCTTTTTTCAGCGGTCACGTCAGCGACTAGTCGTTGCTCTATATCGACACGTTCATGACTTGATCATTTCTTTTGCATCGAACTTCGATTAGGTTAAGAGCAAAGCAAGTAGGCCTATCTCATATGCGAACGGCTGAACGTGTTGCGATCATCGTGCAGCTACTAGATAGCCTGCAGGTGCTCTTGTACGCGAGGGCCAAGAACTTTACATCTGATGTTATCGTTATTGTTGGCTTTGATGTCGCAGAAATAGTATTATTCGTTTCACATTGATTGATTTATATTGTCGCGGTTGGCCTGTCACTGTTGTCGTTAAGGCTAGTGCTGGTGGTCGTGCTCCTGCGCGTGAACTTACGTTACCCGGATCTTTTGTACATCGGTTGGCAGTTGTGACGCATACGCCAGACGTCGGGTAAGTTCACAATGGTCGTACGCTCACACGTATGCTTTATAGAGGTTTGGACAAACATCGAGATTACTGATATGTGATGAGAAGGTTTTCGATTGAACTTTTAAGCCTCAACGCATCGCACCGTTGTGTAAAGTAGAAAATGTCCCTCTTCACGTGTAAACTTGTCTATGTAATAAAAATAAGGATTGGTTCTATTTAATATTACGTGTCCATTCGAGAGGGTTGGATTGCAGAAGATCGTCACAATCAAAGAACTAAACACTGCAGAGCGTATATATGCATTGGACTCTTCGGATGATTGATTTGAGTCTAGGGTTCCAGTTGGACACTTACTCTGCGAATATGGGCGACCTATAACAAATACATGAACAGGTTTCCGAATAAACAATTATTTAAATTCTTCGATAAAAGTGAACTAACCGTGTTAGAAACAATATATGGGATGCAAATAACGAATTTTTCGCGAGTTTTACCACTGTACACTTACGAATTTTATAGCATTTCTTATAAATAGCACTAAAGTGTGGCAAAAAATCAGCTGACGACTCTAAATTGTACAATATGGTTTCTGAATTATTGACAATGATTGATAACCTATAATTAGTAGTAATACAATCAGTAAACCTTAATACTTAGAGTATTAAGGTAACAATAAATTGTAATGCAGCATATAGTAGTGAATAAGACTGCCTAGTATAACTGCCATAGGAAAGTCGTGGCAGGGGGGTGATAGACTGACTTTCTATCTATTGTATTCAATATTGTATCATATCAATGCACAGTTCATTGACTACTCACACATACGATCGTACGTAAACTGTACTTACAATTAGTGAAAGTGTACATATATTTTCACAAACTTGAAAACGGACCTAATGGTTTCATGATTTTTTTCGTATATAGGCTTGACCTTTCTGTAATGGAAGTAATATGCCTAGGGGAAATGCTCGTTGTGCCAAAACCATAATTAAAAAATTTTCTATGATACACTGTATGACCGATTTTTTAAACAGTTCTTTCAACATCAGTTGAAATTTGTAGAAAATCGCTTGTTAAGCTCTACTTCAACAAGCTTAATTTCCGATTTCTTAAAAACTTAGCTTTTTCAATAAAAAATATGGCGGTGCGGTTGGCCCCAGTTAACGGTTCAGAATTTCTGAAGAAAAGCATATAAAGTTTCACATTGCTTACTCATTTAAGCGGTCATCATCAAGTGGTTTGACATTTAGAGGGAATTTAAATTCGAATTATAGTTCTGCCTCTTTTGTTTGAAACGAGTCAGCGGTGATACAGTAATGGCTTCATAGCAATGGGAGCGCAAGGTAAGGCTATAGGGATGAAACAGTAGATAATTAAAACACGATACTAAATTATCTGAACCAACTAACTATGCAATTGAAGAAATGTAATAGACTAGATAATTAAAGTAATCTGATCAAATTACCAGAACTGGGTGATGAGATGGCGCAGCACAAAAGCAATTCTGAATCGACTCAGGCGGTGCACATGGTCAACCGGAATTGGGTTATAGAAGAACCTCAAACATTCAATTATTATAGCATGCATATCAAGCTTCAATCACAATGTCAGTGTCGAACAAGTAAACGGGTAACTTCTTACACTCATATAATATTAAACAAATAAATACGTGCATAACTTTTTTAACTCGTGCAGTATCGAACGGCTAGAAAGTGCGTTGAGATTTCGAACTTACGCAAATACTACAACAAGGTAGTGCTTAACGCCAATATGCCCCGTCTAGGCTAAAACATGCTTTCTGAAGTTTTAGGGCGATGTCGTTCATTCTGTGTGCCCACTGTCACTTCATGACACTCACCTCAAAGGGGCTAACTATTCATCTGCGAAGAAGACACGGAATTATCGCTCACAATCGACCACCAAGAAGGTACGACTGCGTTGCACCATTTAGCCTAAGAAGCAGATCTAAGATGACATACATGCAAACTGTTTGTGCACTTAAACAGAAATTTAGTATCTGTTGCCGTTAGATACGTTAACCAAGATATATTATATAATGTAATATAATATTTACTGCGTATGATTGTAACGACGAACATGGCCAATATACTTGGCCTCGTGCTACGCACGACTCAACTCGCGTTCAAAATTATCCGAATGTGCACTTTTATTAGAGAAAGCATTTATTAACTTTTTATGATTTTGTTTTTATTGGTTTATAGGAAGACTATGCGCGCTCCACCGATCCGTCTAGCTAACTGTAGCATGCGTCGTGAAGCTTGGATGGAGCCTTTCGGCTGCGCAATCTGCAGATATCGATCGGCATCAAGTTCCGACCTGCGACAGCATTTTGACACTACGCATAAACAGTGTGCTAATCATTGGGTGGCAATACCTCGAACCTCGATATCTGCAATGGAACACAGCTTACCACGAGGTCGAGGGGCTTACACATCTCCTCCGGCGGTGGCCAGTAACGGAGGTCAGCATATTGCTATGGCACTCGATGTAGGTCCACCCGTTTCGGGCACTTCGAAGATGCACTTCCCCGCCGAACCGCTGTACGGCCATACAGGACAGATCCTCGGGTGGAAGAGGTAAACGTACGATGTGTGTATTGGTCTGTTTATGATAAAACGTACCGACCAAACCCTGTTCTTACAGCAGACTTACATTTATTTGTAACTTTTAGTTGACGGAAACAACACATAATTGACTTGTACTACCTATTCTATACTTAGAATCATTTGTCATAAAACAACGAGTGGTTTTGGGCTCCGTTTATTAAAATACGATTTGCCGTACTTTGCAGGCCAACAAAGCCACAGCTGCCATCACAGTCAGAGGGTCCTCTGGTATACAGCCAGCAGAAGGCCATGCTTTCACCTAAGCAAAGTCACTCTTCTCGATCGCAGCAGCAGCAGCAGCAGCATCAGGTCTGCGAGGGGCAACACTTAGAGGAAGACTAACGCTTTATGTTTAGGCGTCAGTCCATGGTGTGCGTTCATTTTTTCGAGCGGTAGGTTTTTGATGATTACGATATGCAGTAAACGCTTAGAGCATCAATAAACATCTAATGCGGAATAGAGGTGAGAGAAACGTTCTCGCAGTCAGAACAAAGTTTGTCCTCATAGACGTTGACTGGTTAAGCCCACACGAGACGTTACGTGCGTTACCCAACCTGTATACCGTTTTGCATGGTTTATTCGCGTTTTTACCCTTAAATGAGCATAGTCTTTCATGATACGCAGCTGCAAACGGGTGGAGTACCAGGGTACTTCTAGTCAAAGCTCCTACGTAGTGCTCCGAATATCGCTATTGCTTTTTGGCCTTAACAACTATTGGCTTTAATTGTATCTGGCTCTTTCTTTTTCTTATTATTATTTTGATATATAGAGCTTGCGCTGAATAAAACCTATGAGACACACAACAATGTTTTTTTGTCGTGTGCATTGTTTGTCTGTAAAACAGTTACAGCTCCCGTTACTCTATTCATTATTATCATTTCATTATCGATACATCCATTGAATTTATCTCCATTTCACAATGGTTCGAAATTTATAATGGCGTACGTTACTTGTCGTTTTCAGGCGCTCGATGCAAGTTGACAGAGATGAGATCGAAAAGGTGCAAAATGACGATTACTTTTCTTCTAGTCAGAACCTCAAGTGCGCCGCGTGTACTGCAAGACAGTGCATCCATCCATAGACAACCACATAAATATATTTTATTTGTATTAATAGATTAAAATATTTTTGTACATTATCAATATCTCATATGTTCTCAAGAATGATCATACATTATAATAGTAGATATAATAAACGACTTTCTCGTTACAAAATCATTGTGGGGTGCTCTGCTTTCCTAGAGTCATTCACCTCAGACATCCTAGGGACGCAGAACTGGACGCTTTTTCTCCGTTACAATCTTATGCAGGCTTGCACGGTTACAGTGGGGGGTGGCTCAAGCCCCACAAATGACTTATGCTACACGACAGGTGTAATGAAATAATAATCCTCTTGAAATGGTTTGTAGAACGGCACTTTGTACCTAAATTTATTTCTAGACCAATCGCTGATCCTGTGTTTACAGTTCAGATATTAGGCTCAAGAGAAACATTAAAGCGTAGTGATTTAATTAAGCGTTCGCTCGAGGTATGGTAAGTATTTTGTGAAGTTTTTGGAATTGCGCTTCTCAGTGTCGCCGAATTGCTCGAAAACAACTTTTTAAACACTAAACTAAATTCGTTCAGTCCGATGTATATATATTATAAATTATATAAATTATTTATGCATAAGCTATCTATATATTACGTGAAAATGCATCGAGCTCTGCCAACAATTTATGGTGACGGTCTTCCCACGTAAGTTATACGTCAGAGTATAGCAGAGCCTCAATATACATATAGCAAAAGTCATTGGTCTGAAGTTTTCAAGCCATTTTTCTTGTGTTTAGACTCATGTTGAGTGCAAGTCTAATAAATCATGTGCCTCTGCTCCATAAAACCCGGCTAGAAGCGTTTCCATCTTACGCAATGTGCTCGCCATATTCATGTTTGTTTGTGTACTACAGTTACATTGAGTCTACTTTTTTGGAAGTGGTATAGATACATGCACAGAAGTCGGATAAATTCGAAATGGCCTGGCTGGTTGATCAATCTTTAAGAAGTTGAGCTTCCGGTGCCGCGCGACTGTTTGCATGGAGACGTCTGACTGCATGAGGTTTTACTGTCTCAGAAAAGCGCATCACTAATAATGTATGTGATAATGAGTGAAAGATATCATGATCTTTCACTCATTACCATTATCGAGTATCGATGCAGAAGCTTTTCACTGTTACTTTTTATTTTGTCGATAGAAAGCCGCCACCATAATCAGTGAATGTATAGAAGAAGTTCACTCATTGAAGTTGGAAGGAAATTTGCTAATAAATGAAAACTCAAATAAAAACTATGAAGGATACGAATGATAAATAGAAACGCATCGAGCTCTTCGAAGGGGTTGCTAACTCGCTCGCTCGCTGACAGTTTTCAAAAACGAGCTTCCTCAGCAATTATTTCGTAAGTAAAATGACTCTAAAACTATATGCATTGTAGCTGCAAGTTATAACGTTAATTTTTCTTTGAAGACTATGTGCTACCTAGGTTTACAAGCAGTTAGAAAGAATCGCACACCTCTAATTCAAGGAACGATGCTGAAGAAATTGCTACTTCCATGCACTGGGTTAGCCGGACGCTAATTAGCATATTCGTAAACATTTTTACATACACTCAGCTTATTTTACACGTGATAGTAAATAACATTTGATTTTTTAAAAATATCATAAGTAAACATGTTAGAGCTGTAGGTTTAAATGGTTGATTCGCTCTTACAAAATCAGACATCTAGTGTACGCCAAATTGCTGGAGAAGCCACAAGGCGTAAGCTTGTGGCAGGCGTATTGACGTTGAGAAAGAAGGGCTATAATTGAATAGCACGAGATCTCGATGCGTCCTAATTTAGTCCTTAGCAATCACTATTTTCTTACGTAATCATCACAACATTCTTTCCGTAACGAGATATATTTATCGGTTCTTCGATTAAATCTTAATACGCACCAAAACCGTCTCTTCTGTCAAAGCTGCCAAATTATTGCCATTGTTCCTAATATGCTTCCGTGATGAACTTTTCCCTGTCGAGAGCTTCAATTCGTTTATGCGCGAATGGAATAATGGTAAATACACCAGATCTATCTGCCATTGCCTTTGGCGCCCTTGCTGCTGGAAGCCTCACGGAGTGGATAGCAACTAAATGACAATACAAAAGCCCCGCAACGGAATAAACGCAGGGTTCCCTCGCGTCACGCCTCCGAACGATCGATCGACTGGAGTTGAACGAAGTGAGCGAAAACCGTCGGTCGATCGGTCAGTGATATTCATCCATGCTGTCCACGGAGTTTGTTCGAATGGGGTGTGTTGGACCGACGGCAGCGGCGGCGGCGGCGCCGGCTGTGGGAAGAGCGCCGACCCACGGGGCTACGACCGAGAGAAGGGTCGTTAGCCTGTTCCGAGCGGTACAGTTCGACCTGATACGGCCTGCGCCGTGTCAGAGTTGTAGAGAGAGAGCGAAAGCAGAGTAAGCGAGTAGGTGTCTATCTGTCGGTTAGTGTCGCCGTTTGTTGGGTGAGCTGGACGAGACTATGTCTAACGTTCGGTCTCGGTAGAGAGCAGAGTGCGGCATGCAAGCTGCTTTTCTCGGCCTCGTCTGTCCGTCTGTATGTAGGTCTGCCGCTGGGTCCTCCGGTGCTCCTCGTCGCCCTACCGCTACTCCTGCTACAGCTATTGGCATAGGCGGTAGTTTGTAAGCTGTAGTAGCTGCAAGGCTGTGAGTGCAGAGACTATAGCAGCAGTCTGTTGGGGGACATGGCGCTAGCAGCGGCCCCCATTACTACGAGGAATACTAACATGGCGGCTGAAATTCGTCGTCTGCAAGACGAAGAACGAGGCAAGAATCATAGTCCATAGCAGTATACCGTCATAGTATAATCATAGTTGTGTCGTACCGCCGCCGCCGCCTGCTACTGTACGAGAACCGAGCGTGCGCTGGTGGTGTCCTGATGACTGGCCGTCACCAGGGGCGCCCCACTCAGCACCAGCCAGCCGAGAACCGAACAGCCACGGTGCAGCAGTCCACCATAATCAGGTAAGTGTGCGTGATAGACGCGAGCGACAAAGGAAACGGATATGAGCCGAAGTCGATTTGCAGAAACAGCTGCTGCACAACTGCCCATAAATTTGCACGTCGCTGGGTTCACTTGTCGCACTAGCAAACGCTCCGGAAGCACGGATATCTCTTTTGACGAACAATAAACGGCCGGCTGAGAAAATTTGACGTTTGGTGAGTGTATATGTATCTGGTTAGAGAGGCACAGGTTTAAACAGTGAAGCGGTAACAGTGAGTTTTGTGTGGGATGGACGGATTTACGTTTGAACTCAATAAAGGCAGGGTTAAGGGTGTCTGAGTGGACGATTCGGTCCGAAAGCTTTGTCCATAATGTAAACAAAGCGAACAGCAAGCTGTTCAGCTGGAGCTAATGAATAAGAAGCAATTAGCCCAGATGGAAGGTATAACGCAGCTATGGCTGAATAGCCTAGGCCCAGTTGACTAATGCTTTCGAGGCTGCAGAGAATGAAACAGGACCAAAAAATTCCCGTTCAGCGTGTTCTAACTGCGAAAATTCAAGCGGTCACTAGGTTCACTGGGTAGTCGAGTTGCCATTAGGAGTAGCTGTTTATAGCTTTGTCCAGTTGTTAGCCTTATTGCCGTATAAACCACCACTCGGTCTGTGACTGGTAGAAGGCTGATAAGATAAGAATCGGGAACAGAGAGAATGTTGGGAAGATAGCTTACTCCAGTGTTCAGGGGGACTTGCAGAAATCAGAATTTTTATTAGTTTTAGAACGTACTGGGGTCGATTGAGACGCAAAGTCAAATTTAAAACTCAACAGTGTGATACTTTAACCTTAAGATGGGACACCCAACAGCATATTAGTGACCAGAATGTGAAAGCACCACGTCGAAGTTACTTCAAGAGGCACTTAAAGCAGCTATACCCCATAAGGTGCCGTTAGTCCGTCAGTTACAACAGGCGTCGACAATCTTGAAGTTAGCAAGGGTTAGTAAAACTGGTTTTTGCCGCAGAATGCACGAAACTCAATAAAGACCGGACACTTTTTAAAAACTGAGAGGCATCGGTTGTCAACACAGCTTTATATAGTGCACTATTTTGCTGTGTTTGGATGATGCATATTTTAGATTCGTTAGTAAGGTACGCGTGTGGGGGGGGCGAAATGAATTGGATTTGTTGAAGAGAGAAAGGAAAAAAGTGGCAAACCACATAGTTCTCTCAACGAAACCCGTTCACCTTTCTTCTTTCAATAATAGAATTGACTGAAAGGCTGCCCGACGTGTCATGATACGATCTACTATCTTAATCGGGGTCAGCCGACATTCTCTTTGCTACCAAGGCTACGTGGAGGTATCCTGCAGTGCCCCCTGGGAACCACCAACCTCCAAAAGCCATCGTGCATTATACGAGTAGGACTCCAGAGCTGCGCGTGCGGTAGACCCAAGCAAACATGCGATCTAATGGAATATTAGCGGTAATAACGGTTACTGCAGGAAAAAAATAGAGTTAGGGCATTCCAGTGCATGTAAATTCCATGACCCTTCAGCGTGGAAAATGGCGATTATCTAACATGCATAGACATATTTATAGAAGCACGTTTTGACAAACTGGATGTACCTACCATTGGAATATATTGGAACCTACCATAGCATTGTGAAATGCACAGAGACAAAACGCAAATGACGCGGGCTACTGAGGAAAGTTGTCGATTGTAGGTTTTCGGTATGAGCTATGGAAACAAAAACCAGCAGAAGTTGAGTGAATCGCAGCTTTTCAGAGATCCAAAATGGCGGCAAATAAAAGCAGTCTTTTTTTTGCTTCACGAAGATAAACATTTCTGTCAATTAATTTCGGAGCAATAAATGATATTTTTGCAGGCAATTATCATACCCTAACAAATACTGCTATTTAAAGCAACAACTATACCTTTGAAGGTTTTTGGATTTACAGATATTGATTCGTTTGACGATATGATAGCTACCCATACTTCTACAGATTTTGATGGTGCTTATGTCTTAGTCCGTCCAATAATCTAATGGTCGATATCAGTGCGAAATTGATATAATTCTGAATGGAACGCGAACCGCCAACACGTGTCCTGCGGCAGAGAGCGGACGTAAATAATCTATGGCTAAATACACATTCATTGCTACAGCTTACAAGAATTTTGGATGAAGCTGGGCGGGTTAGATAGCTTCATACGAACACCTTCTACCAGACCCGTCCGCGGCTCTACAACCATGCAGGCCATTTTAGGTACTTGAAAATCAAAACGGAATAAAGTTAACCGTCTGCAGAATTGAACGTCCAAAATATTGGGTTAGCAGTTATTCTACTAGAGAAAAAAAGTGATGTAAAGTTATAACATGCTAAAGTTGCGCATTGCCCAATAGCCGAAACTTACTCGTGTGCGACCGCTGTTGTTCTCGTTGCTAAACCTCTAGGTATACAGTAACCCGATTAAGCGAAGGGTTGCGTTAGGCGCTAGTCGGCGATTTTGAAGTACCCAACATGGCCTGAACGGTAGTAGAGCCGCGGAAGGGTCTAGTGGAGAGCGTTCATATGAGGCTATGTAACGCGTCCAGCTTAATCCCAGAGTAACTATAAAAAAAAAAAAAAAAAGCAAAGCCCATCTAGCGACATGTAGGCTGTCGTCTGTCGACGACAGAAAATGTATACTTGACAGTTTTCAGCAACGGCGAAGCCTATTAACTGTACATGTTTACTGCCGTAGTGATGAAGTAGAGTCGTTGGTGCCGGTGATCCGCAGCGAACTTTTGCAGTTAAAATAATCTATAGTTAAAATGATTAATGGTCGCTATTGGATTTATAGCGTTATTTATGGCATAGCAAATCGTAATGTGTTCAGAAATGTTTCAAATTTTACGTTGCTCTATCTGATATCGTTAAGTATTGTTTCAGGCGACTGGCCTCTAGCACGAGACGAAGTGCGGCTGCTTCTGGTTGTGAACATGCACCACTTCCAGGTGTTTGTAAGTTCTGTAGACAAACATCTTTCTACTGAGCGACTACGGAATTAGTCGCGCATATAATGAGCACGAACGCGTTACTCTTTTCTGCCATTCGCAGATTAATCGTCTGTTTGAAACGTGGACTCTACGTTCTAGCCGGAGGGCAAAGGGCAAACCTCATATCAGAACAGACACCTGAGGCTAAGCGATGACATAAACACACCTATGCCGACTCAAAAAAAATCACTTTTTTTTCATTACCTGTCGCGTAATATATGTCGCTGGCGGGACTTGTATCCTTTTCGGCGAAGGGCCTAAATAAACCCTAATTCGAAGAACAACATAGAGTTTAGCTAGTGACGGCGAACGACAAGCCTTCTCTAGTCGCAATAAACGACACGTAGGCGAAATATCGTTTTCTCTCAACATAAACTGTACAGTCAAATATGTCTATTATTAATGCGTGATCACTGTACCACACGGTCAGTTATGTTAAATCATATATGGTATATAAAAATAAGCAGGTCTTCCAGGACGATAAAAATTTACACACGATAGGAAACACCAGATTATGGGTAGGTATTACGTGTATCAACCACATATTGTATATTTCGTTCTGCAGTCACGAAAGCCTTACTATTACAGACATCGATGTTAATAGATTCTTCAAGCCACCTTCACACGCGGGCGTGCCCCATGTGTACTATATTTAATTAAAAATATATTGTCCGTCCCCTTTCCTGTCAAATCTAACACATGTTTTCTATTTGGTAACTGCTTGATAAAGATTTTAGGCGTTGCATTTTTTTTTTACTAGAATATGCCTCGTTGTCTCTATTGATTTAGGGGCAGAATTAATAAGCAGTCGCGAACGAGCTGATCTGCCAAAACATTCCGTGTCGCTCTAAAAAGTCCATCTAAATCCGTCGTGTTAGGCTTCGACACAAAATAGAAACCAACAACACGACTGACAGTGACGAAACCCCTGGCATCGAACGGACCCCCACAAAAACGGAAATATCCGCCCGGAGACAGGCTGCTGCCTGCAGCGCAACGAGCTCTGATGCGACTCAACCTACCTAAGACGTATAGTAAATAGGAATGACTCATAAATGTTTGGGTTTCTTTGCTATTTTAATTTTGCCAATTAGATCGTTTAAATAATATTCACTACGAGCGAAACACTATGCATTAATGAATGAATATAGTTTCATTCACAGTTACGATCATCATCGTTATATTTGTTTGTATGAGAAAACCCGGTGCCTAACGTTAGTAGCGCAATACGTTATATGCGACCTTACGTCACCATACATATGCAAGTTCGCAGCTTACATATGTGTTAAAATTAACAAACGGAGCCAAACACTATTGCCTTCCATTATCAGTAGAAAGTAACTAAACAAAATTTGTTTACTATACTACTTTAGGTTAAAAATGCTTATGCACCACCTAGGACCTGACTGCGAACCTTGTTGGTCGCAACAAGTATCGAGATAGATTGAACTGCTATTGAATGCCTGACTGTATCGGCCCGAAGCTTTCGGATTATCCACTCTGGCTAAATGATGGTAATGTAGGTAAAGCCAGTTGTCTGAACCGCCTAAATATTATGTGTTTGATCGATCGATAGTCTCGGATTGACTTCGACTTGCTCGCCGACATAATCAAACATCAGCTGCGTAACCAGACCACCTTGTCCATTCGTCCAGTGTATGCGTTGCCCTGTGCAACCAGTGGGTCGTATGGAATAAACGTTTGCATTGCAACCCGGACGGCGAGAAGCTTCTGATGTTATTCCGAAATTGCGAGGGAGGGAATATGTATATATAGGGTGCAATATAACCCAATGATGGTTACGTGTGCGGTAGTCGTTAACATGAAAGACGCTAGTCGCAGGGGATGACCATAGGTATGACACCAGATTAATAGCAGGTAAGAGCCAGTAAGCTGTTGGTCTATTTCTTAACGTTGCTTTAATACCCTTCCCTCCATTAAGGAGAATGAATATGGAAGTTTAGAGATCGCCACAACAGGTCCTGAAGCAGCCCACTATGAAAGGTTTGACATAGAAAGATTAGAAAATGCGTGCATAGATTCTATAATCAGAAGAGTTAACAAACCATATGACTATAGGTCCTCTGTGACATTCTTATATCAGGTTCGTTCGGAGTGTTCTAACCTTCCGGCTCGATAATCGATGCTCCTTCGACCAAAATCTTCGCTCTTGATATCTCGAGGTTAGGGTCGAGTTCCCTCCCAAGGAAAAGATACATTGGGGTTTGGACATAAGAGGAGGTGCTGAACGTACTTCGCTACGAAATTGTAATTAGGACGTGAGGGAATCATTCTCCTTAACACCATGATTCCTTATAGTCCATGCTGTAGCCAGATGGAAACCTTCGAAAGAGTTACCTTCCTGAGTGCGACAACTACGACAATGCTGGCTTTCGAAAATTCTTTAGCAGTTGGAGCAGCGATGGTATAAATACGTATGTCGAATTGGGCCCCCGAAAATCACATTGCTTACGGAATTATGAAAAATACTGCTTTTTCGACACCATTTAATTAATTGTTTTAATTAGAGTCAGCTATTCGACAGGTGAGAAAGTTCTCTTTCACGTCCAGCGTGACAGGAATTACAGTCATTAACGCAAGACAATATCGCGAGCCGAAAGCCAAGCTCCATTCATTAGCGATGCGTCGCTGAATCGGATACGGCAAATCTGGATACATTTGGTTCGTGTGACACATCATATGGAACAAGTTAGTTATTTAATGATTAATTCATACTCCACACTGAATAGTAACCCAATGGATTGCCGACGGCAGTCATAGCGCGCCTTAGCAGTTTCCTTCGGATCTGCTTATGTGATGCCCGTCATCAAGGACTAGACCTTCATGAAGTCACAAACAAAGCAAGAAGTTCTAAACAACTACTGTAGCTGTTAACAATATGCAGAATCTCCAACTCTCTGACGAAGTGTGTTTACGCTCGCGTTCGAACTCAGGCCAACGTTCAGCACGCAGATGTATAACCCTCTACTCCACTATGGGAACTCAACAAGCTTGTACAAAACGTACGGTCTAGGCTCTTTTAGGTAGAGCGTACATTTTGTACGAGCTGCATATTTACGAGCAGAAAAGTATTCTACGCGACGTAAGCTAATGCTTTTTCTGTTTTCTAATAAAATATACATTACACTTTAATATGCGTTGCTGAAAGAGGTGCGGGCGCTACTAATTCTCAAGTGCTTAATCCTGCTGAGTCAGGACATAATTTAATCAAAAAATATAAATAGAAATGATTGACGAAACAAACGTTAACATTATTTTGGCTCCTATATAGAATCAGCTTCCCGTGTAAGATCCACCCTATATACGTGTTGATTTTACGACTGTGTCCCGTGATATGAATCAGCCGGTTTGTGTAGGCAACGGGTGTGCGGTGACGGCTTTTGGAACTGCCGCGAACAATCGATGCTTGATCAGCTGTCCGTTTGCCTGCTCTCTGTACGGCTGGTTGGTATAGGTGTCTTTGGGCATCTGCATCAGTACGGTTAAAGGCGTTGTCATTGATACTGACACACACTAATAGCCTGTTCTGTCAGCCTACCTGTCCTGATGGTAGCGTTGTGTCAAACCAAGTGGCTAAGCGACTGCTGCACCGTCTAAATCGAACTGCGATAGGCAGCATGTGATATGTTGCAGAAGTTGCTTTAAGGGCTAAGTAGTACGATTCGTAATAGTTTCAGTACGAAGTTACTTTGACGCTAATCTAGCTGATCATAGTTGTTGCCAACGATATAATAGTTTTTTTGCAGCTACGCAACGAAGATGGGAACGTACTTCGGTGCAAAACGACAAAGTGCTGTGCTCCCACCGTTTTCAGTGTGAGATGTTAGTGTATTTGTAGTTATGTGAACTTGAAGGAGCATAATGACTTGTTGCTGGGATATAGAAGATAACCACTTAGTGAAAGTCACCTTAAATAGAGCTTTCCCTTCGACAACATGTACATTTCCTTCATTTGTACGTAATGATTCGTTTTTTTTGACGATTTGGCATTTGTTTGACAGTGAGTGTAATGCTACTTTAAGTATATCCTGAGAGGTGCTATTTCGTGCGTCTTTCAGAAGACATGTGTGTGCGTTGTCGCTGGTAGTCTTTGCTGGCATGTTTATTTCTCTGACAGTGAGACCGTTTTTGGGGCACGGATGTCCATTTGAAATCAACCTAAGCCTCAGTCGACCCACGACCGTGGGTGGGACGTCGGGCGAAGGCCGACTTGAATTCGAAACGAGAGGCCAGTCTAAGATCAGGACGAAATTGCGAAATATATTTTTTGCTGGTTGTTCGATTAGCCTTTAGTCCATTAGATCTTAACGTGTCCCACTGGCATTTAGTGAATAGCTAGAACTCATATTGACCTCGAAAGAAGTTATGTGATGTCCTTCTACGACAAATGTTTACGTTAGAGTGATTGAGTAGCTTCTGTTTCTAGTCGCCTAATATCCATCATACACAAGAAAATTTCGTGAACCGCCTTCGAATCATTAAAAGCCAAATAGCCATTGTACCGCTAGTGTGATTAATTCATTTTTTACGGCATTTAGTTGTAGACGAGGTTGGAGAGTGCACATAATTGAATTAACGTAGCTTGTAAATTCACGACAAGAAAGCCAAGCTTTTATGATCTCCCGTGGGATTTTAGCACTTCCATAATACTCTAGATATTTTGTTCACATAATCGTTTTAGAGCTTTTTACGACTAAAAATGATAAGGAGATGCAAGTTCTTCAAAGTAAACAAGTTAACTTTTATTCTAGAGTTGCAAACCTGTATGCAGCACTGAGCAACATGGGAAGCATTAAAATTCTGACATTGACTTACTTAATACCGAGACACTTAAGATATTAGAAAAAAAAAAAGCTGGCCTTATTCTTGTAACTACATTTTAAGAGGTAACTAAAGTAAACATTTGCAATCAACACTTCGTGCAGTGTCTGTGCTCGTCTTCACTCGCTTAAAAATCGATTCTTTTGAAGCTATTTCTTTAGTTCTATAACTGTACATACTAAAGGTCTAAAAAAATGAAAAACTAGTTTTTTTTTTTTTTAAATGTTTTCAGACTTTGTTTCATGATGTAGCAAATAGGTTCATTAGGATCTTTTGTAAATTCAGTTGTGCAGTGTTTCTATTATTGAAAAGGTCTATTGATCCAAAACGAATTAGCATTTACACTGATTATTACCGGGTATCCTCATAACCATATCTGTGCTTTTACGAAAAAGAAAAACCTTATTTTTCCACAGGGTAGAGTTCTAATAGGCGTACGCCAAATTCTCTTAGTTACACTTGTCGTGTGGTATATATCGTTGGTAACGTTAGAAAGAAAGTGACCTTTGCTTAACCAAAATCATATACAAATCTTATATATTATATGCATTACTTGCATATGTTGCTTTACGTGACATCACAGCGCGGGACTGGTGCCTTAAAAAGTTTGGCATGTTAGGTTGCCCCCCATAGGCAACTATCGTTGTTTTTTTTCATCTCTAAGCAACTTTTTTTTCCTCTGCCACGTTTCTAATAATGATCTTAGCTCGCCGGCTATAGCTAGCATTTGCGGTTACCCTTCAGCGTGCTTTGACAGGACAAGTGAACGGCTCTGCTGACGCGTTCCACCACGAGCCGCAAGTATGTCTTCTGTAAAGGTGAGTATCATTTCGAATGTTCGTTACGTTTTAACGTCGAACAATTGATTTATTGCGTTTCTCAGTATTTTTCTCGATCCCAGTTAACTACCTTCCTGTATTACTCAGCATTTCTTTAGTTGTTTTTTAGATTTATCTTCGGCGCCCGTTGTAACTAAAATTATCGACCCATACAATGTTCTAGATATTTAGGAAATGAGCATAAAACTAACCGGCTCAATTGTTCGGTATAGAGCAGTAATGGCAAAATATTCACTGAAACCTATACAGGTGGCTGTTCGTGTCCGGCCGTTCAACAAACGGGAAATCTCCCGTGATTGTCGGTTGATCATTCAGATGAAAGATAATACAACAGTGATCGAGAATCCTAAGGATAACACATTTAAAAGCTTCAACTATGATTATTCGTATTGGTCATCAAACGTAAGTATTATCAAGAAGAGAAAATCCACTTACTATTGACAGACGAAAGAGAAGCATCGTTGAATAACCAAAGGGGCACTTTTTCAAACAATGCAGGCTTATGAAGATGTCCCATCTATTGTCGTCAAATAACCCTTTAGTACCTAACCTAACCGAACATCACTCTTTTTGGGGTGTAAAAATTTGTTGCTATAAGTATCCTGTATCTGGACTCAGAGCAGAAATATATTCACGAGGCTTGATATGCCACGAGGATTATTTAGTGGAAAGTCTTATTTTGAAAATTATGTGAAGCTCTGTTTGTTCAGTGATGAATGACAGAGATAAATATTTTATTTGACTTTTATATCTTATATGGACCCTAGACACGGTAGCTGTGTGGAGCTCAAGGTTTGTAAAACAGGTATTTTTTACTGTATTAGTACAGAAGTCTTACCATAGTAAGACTTGAACGCCTTAACTGCCCGTCAAGCGTTCCTCTACTGTCAATGTTGACATGTCACGAAGCAACCCACTAAGTACCGAGAAATTAGAAGCGGACTTCGTATCTATACCTTCATAGCTGTACCATAGCACCACTCGTAAATATGGTTATGCTGTCGCAGTAAAGTCTACTGATATTAATCATTGGCCGAAACCGAATTATCTGAACCTGTAGTTAGTTTATCTAAACTATACCTCTTGTGGTACATTATAATATTGTTAGCACACTCTGTTATAGAGTGTGTTGGTGTCGATTCATCCTGCTTTATAGAAGCAGAAGGAAGAACGAAATTAAAATCAAGCTTACACTCCCGCATTAAGAGTTTCTTATTGCTTGAACGCTTTTGCTGATTTTGAAAAATCTAGCGCAGTTTATTAGTGACTAATTTCTCGCGCTGCAAAGGTGTTTCAGGGTGTAGACTTTGCTTGCAGGCGCGCACGTTTTTGTCCTTAGACGAGTTTCTTACATTGTCGCTGCCGCTGTTGATATTGAAACTCGTCATGTTTCGTCTTCCTCACTTAGCTGCCGTTTTGCTCCTGTCTGGTGGACGTGCATCTCCTCGCTGTCTCATAGAGTATTTGTGAGAGGTCCATGACTCAGAGCGCTAGTCAGAATCGAATTAAATGTCTAGTTGATAATGTTAGAGGCGTCCGCCTGACTGGCTCCAGTGACGTCATGGCCTGCCCTTTTCCCCTATTCAGTAGGTCTAGCTCCTTCGCTCTCTCTCTACGACACCCCGTTCTGTCCTCTTTCTAATCGTGGCCTACGTTCCCGGTTTGCACACCAGCTAGGAGCGTTTTTCTGTTCCGTTTGTAGATGACACAAAGCCCACCTGTCCTTGTGCGCGTTTGTCGGCTTGCGGGTCTTCTAGCTCTGAGTTATCCGTTTGTCTCTTCGGGGAGCAAGGCCTACAGAGGCCTGTGGAAATCGCTAGGCCTATAAGTTTATGTAGTGTTGTATACGAAACTTCCGACAACCTCAATCCGTCTATTTGACTTTGTAGAGCATTCGCATATAGGTGAACCTTGGCCAATGATGCTTGCTAGTGGCGTCCTTCAATTGCCATATCAACTCTGTGTGTATTCATACGCATAGAACTAGAAGGCAAACCAACTGATATAGTCGGTTTACTGGCAACATTCTGTGACGATAATGAAAAGTTTACGAGAGTGATTATGATCCACGATCCTAATTAGCTAGAATTAACGTAAATGACGACGGGGCAAGTTTTGTATAGCTGAGAAAACAGTTATTGGCATACACAACAAAGTTGAATAAAATACGCTGGCGTAACTGTTATTTGAATGTTAAGTTGGCTCAGAGCAATGTGGTACCACAGAAGGGAGACCAGTGCATACAAGCTAGGGTGCTGCTTTTTTTTGCGAATAACTGTAATCGAATTATATATAGGATAATAGCGGTATCTTCCAAATAGTGCTTCAAAACTATGGCGAGCTGTCTTTTTTGCTGCTATTATAGTACGTTATGAAGGAACTTCAACTGTGAAACTTCCTTTGTTTGCGTTCTAGGAGTCTGAGTCAGTTACAACATTTCTTATTTAGTTAGAAAGACGGCCGTTTTACTGAAAAGTACATATAATTAATATTAAAATATCCAAAATGTAAATATGTATGTGCTACAGTAAGTTGTATTCCTTTATGCATCACTTTTTTTTTAACATACACGTATGCCCTTTAGGTTAGCAGGCAAGGACCCCACATAAGAACATCATATGATCCCTTTTCGGTATGTATTAGCGATAATCACCCACAGGCTTGTTTTCGTGTATCTCATTCAATCAATTACAGACGGAAGATGCTCATTTTGCCGGTCAAGATCAAGTGTACGCAGATATTGGAGAAGAAATGTTACAACACGCGTTCAATGGGTATAATGTATGTATTTTCGCGTACGGCCAGACGGGAGCTGGGAAAAGTTACACAATGATGGGTCGCAGTGAGGCTGGACAAGAGGGCATTATTCCGCATATCTGTAAAGACCTGTTTAATAAAGTCCGGAACGATACATCTGATATACTTTACTCAGTTGAGGTACGTTTGGCAATATATGGGCATCATGATTTAGTTGTTCTAGACGAGTCCACCTTTTCATCTAAGAGTTTGTGATATTTATTTAGTGTAGAAATATCGCAGTATTATTAATATTATTTTTTGAGTTTAGACAATGTTTGTTTGATGCAGCTGGTCCAAAAATAAAGGATTACGAAAAAACAAAAGGCTCTATAATTAAAATTCCACGCTGTCATTAGCACTAATTAGGGTAACTAATGCTTACTCGATCCTTAGGCTTGTATACTCTACATTAGCATGCTGTTCTATCGTTACACACATATGCAGGTGTCTTACATGGAAATCTACTGCGAAAGGGTGCGCGACCTTCTTAACCCACAAAATAAGAATAATCTACGGGTGCGAGAGCATCCTTTAGCCGGACCCTACGTCGAGGATCTTAGCAAACTGATAGTAAAAGACTACGAAGACATAAACAATCTTATGGATGAAGGTAACAAAGCGCGAACGGTAGCAGCCACTAACATGAACGAAACATCATCTCGTTCACATGCTGTCTTTACAATCATGTTCACCCAACGGAAAAAAGATGAACAGACCGGATTAGTCAGTGAAAAGGTATGATAAATCGCCGCTATGCCCAGTCAAACACGCAATCATAATGAGTCGCATTGCACAATTAAAACAAGATGTGTATCGTTCTCCAATTGATTTATTATTAGTTTGCAAGGGAGAAAATGTATCACTGTTAAACACTTGACATTATTAGCTACATTCGTCTCTTTTTCTTCTACTTATTGATATTGTTCAGGTGAGCAAAATTTCACTGGTTGACTTAGCCGGCAGTGAACGGGCAGATTCAACCGGAGCGCAGGGCACCCGACTTAAAGAGGGAGCCAATATCAACAAATCGCTAACGACATTAGGAAAAGTCATTTCTGCATTAGCCGAGCTGGCCGCCAATCGCGGCGTGGCCGGTAAGAACCGGAAGAAAACAGATCATATTCCGTATCGAGACTCGGTACTGACTTGGCTACTTAAGGAAAATCTTGGAGGAAATTCAAAAACGGCCATGATTGCGGCCGTATCCCCTGCTGACATAAACTATGACGAAACGCTCTCGACACTCCGGTACGCAGATCGTGCTAAGCAGATTGTTTGCAAAGCTGTGGTGAACGAGGACGCCAACGCCAAGATGATCCGAGAGCTTAAAGAGGAGATCGCCAAACTCAAAGGCTTGCTGGTGGCTGAAGGCATTCACATTGATGATATGAATAATGTAGTAGCGCAAGGCAGCCCCAAGCAGCGGCGCCGTCTTATGTCCGGAGCTACCGAGGACAAGATCGAACAGCTGCAGGAGAATGAGAAATTGATCGCTGAACTCAACGAAACGTGGGAGGAGAAACTACGAAAAACCGAAGATATCAAAAGGCAGCGCGAAGCTGTTCTAGCTGAGATGGGTCAGTAGTATAATTTCTATTGTTAAGTTTTTATAAAAAAACTTAACAATAGAAATATATATATATATATATATATATACTGACACTCATCATTAGGTTTTGTTTATAAAACTGTATGTAAAAAAGCAGATATTTCAAAGGAACTTTTTGGGAGTGCTAGAAGTGTTACTCCTGACGCATCCACCGTGATCACATTTCCGATTTAAGACCTCAACCACTAATTAGATACTTTAAATATAATCTTTCTTTTACCTGCAAATAACTTTCTCATGGTAATCGTGCGTTAAACGATATTGGTAAATGTAAACCTTCTAACGCAAGCTAGAAATTTTAAAAGTGCAGGGGCGCTGAAAAATTCAAATCAGCAAAATAGCTAAAAAATTCTAACCGTTGAAATTTATTTAGATCGCCCAATAGGCATTCATTTTATTAATTTTTGTAGTGAAAACGTAGGTGTATCAAGCATGTTTCTTGGAGAAATTTTGATGCATTTCCGAACCCTCAAAATCTAAGTTATATTGGGGATCTCCGGTTTGTCTCATAAAATTTTGATTTTTCAGAAAGCGCAAAAAAAATTATTAAAAACCTAGACCGTCAATTTCGGGCTAAAAGTGAGGCCTTTAATCACGGTGGATGATTTGTCCAGCATGTACAGACTGTGCAATAGCTCATCTTTACTCAGATTCTAGAAATGACGTACTGTTTTTGGTAACGACGGGCACGGTGTTTCGTTCTAGAATAAACAGGTTTTTGCCTGGTACCACAAGCAGCGGATGAATACATACGATAAACGACCCGATATACATATAATGTGTTGATAGACGTTACGCTCATAGAATGGTGTGATCAAACAGGTAAACTCAAGTTCCTCCAGCTTTTCCTCTTCAATTGGTCGTTGATTATCAAAGTGTATTTATACATATGTGTGTTCCATGATTTATTTTGTACTGCAGGTGTAGCACTGAAGGATGACGGCGATACGCTTGGTGTATTCTCACCGAAAAAGACCCCCCATCTAGTGAACCTCAACGAGGATCCGCTAATGTCCGAGTGCCTCCTCTACTATATTAAAGATGGATTGACCCGGGTAGGCCGACCGGATGCCAATGTATCGCAAGATATCAAGCTAACCGGAACCGAGATACAGAACGAACATTGTACATTCGAAAATCACGAAGGCGTTGTAACGCTCGTACCTTGCGCTGGCGCTACAGCGTTTGTGAACGGCAAAGAGTTGTTGCCAGGCGACCAAGCTGAGCTGCGTAGCGGTATGCGTGTAATTCTTGGCAAATATCACGTGTTCCGATTCCAACACCCAGAACAGGCTCGGGAATGTCGCGGTCGTTCGCCTACCGACGAACAAACTGGAGAACCGGCAGCAGTTGACTGGACGTTCGCTCAACGAGAGCTTTTGGAAAAACAAGGCATTGATCTTAAGCTCGAGATGGAGAAGAAACTTGTTGCTATTGAAGAGCAATATAAGCGTGAAAAAGAAGAAGCCGATCAACATTTCGCCGAAGAACGAAAGAATTACGAAGCGAAAATCGAAAGCCTTCAACGTCAGGTTGAAGAGGTATCTATGATGTCATCAATGGCCTCATCGTATGCGCTGTCGTCGTTCCTTGAAGGCCCAGAAGAGCCAACGCCTGTCGAAGAGTGCTTTGAACCCTTAGATGAATCACAGTTACGAATCGCACGGTGGGCATTTGACAAATGGAAAATCCATCAGTTTACGTCGCTCCGAGACGACTTGTGGGGCAACGCGATCTTTCTGAAAGAGGCAAATGCCATTAGTGTCGAGCTTAAGAAACGAGTACAATTTCAGTTTGTTCTTCTTACTGATACGCCGTATTCTCCATTACCGCCTGATATGTGTCCGGCAGATGGACGCAAAACAATTGTGGCCGTTGAGGTACAGGACATGAAGAACGGGGCAACGCACCACTGGACTCTCGAAAAGCTTAGACAGCGGCTAGAACTTATGCGCGAAATGTATCAGAGTGAGAACGAAAGCTCACCGACCGAATGCGAGCCACAGGGCGATCCCTTCTACGATCGTTTCCCTTGGTTCCGTATGATTGGCCGGGCCTTCGTCTACCTTACGAACTTGATGTATCCGAACGTAGCATTAGTGCAAACCGCAGCCGTGGTTAATGAAAGAGGTGACGTTGTAGGCTATCTCCGCATCGCTGTACAGGCTGGAACTGCGGGCGATGAACAGCCTGCCGGCGTACGACAATTTGCACGAATCCGTTTCGGAGACGAAGCGAGCAGTGGTGGAGTGCATCAGGGCGTCGAGTCAGATGACGCACGAATTTCTGGCGATGAGCGGGAGCGCGTTGTTGAGGGACGTGGCGAGGAAGACATCGATAAGGACGCCGATAAGGGTTTGTAGAATAGGAGGTATTATTTGGTTGTGAACCGTGTGTTTATTAGCTTTATTTCTCTGATAAGCCGTTATATGGCAGGAGATTGGGTATTTGTATTGCGTATTCAATTTCCTATATGTCTTCATAAGCGTCGACAATACTTTAAATACAGCAAAATAATTTTGTGTGTAATTTCATCATGTCTTTTTGTATCTTGCTTATTAGATACCAGCGAGGCAAGAGGCGAAATCGAGGAGGATGCCGGGAGTCAGCTTCCACAGCATCTCAAGCTCGGCTCCGAGTTTACTTTTCGCGTCACTGTTCTCCAGGCAGTCGGTATATCACGCGAATACGCGGATATTTTCTGCCAATTCAAGTAAGGGGAATGTTTGGTTTGTAATGTTTACCACAATATATAGATATATATGTACACATATTTCATCTAAAATGTTACATAAATATGAAACTGTTATAATCTGACCATCTAAAAACAATGGAGCGTATGCTTGAGTGTACCACTATGCTATATTTTTTGTACTGCCTTAATAATTGCAGCTGGTTGACACGATTCAATATGGCTTTTACTTTATTTGAGACTTTTTATTTTCCTCTGTATTGGTCTTTGCAGCTTCCTGCATCGACACGATGAGGCGTTTTCGACAGAGCCTCTCAAAAATACAGCTAAGGGTCCACCACCTGGTTTCTTTCACGTACAAAATGTAAGTTCGTCAACCCAGATCTACTCTGGGATAGAGGTAACTATTTGCCGACACTTGCTTCAAACACTCATGTCGGAACGACCCTAAAATATGCTGATCTTCGACTAACATGTAGTACTGCTTTCTAATGGCACTAATATATTTATATTTAGATAAACCTAGGGCTACTTAAGTGTAAGACGTTTATTATTGGTAGCCATAAATAGCTAGTAAAGAAAACGAAGCAGCTTACGGAACTCACCATCAAGAAAAAATGTCTTAACCTGAAGCTTCATTGACCGTATTCGTTTAACGTTTTGTGTTGTGACTACAGATCACAGTGACGGTAACTCGAGCGTTTGTGGCATACATCTCCAGTCGGCCAATTGTGTTTGAGGTCCTAGGTCACTACCAGGCACACCCGCTGCATCGCGACGCGTGCTCAGAGGGTACAGCCCCAGCAAATCCTCCAGGATGTCCAGCCACTCCCCAACGTCAACCACCGCGGCGAATGTTTCCCCGCACTCTGCCCATATCACAGCCCGTGCGCTCGCCTAAGTTCGGTGTCGTTCCGCAGGCAAGGTATTATGATACTGGCCAGCCAAGCATAGCAGCACACCATCGTCCTTTCGCTGTCTCGTTTGTCTTTTTATCATTTGTATTAAGTCTTTCTTCGTTCCCCATGTGCAGTCATCTCGTGGTCGAAACCATTCGATGTGTTTTTATAATAACCGATCGAAAACGTTTGTTTTTTAGTTGTTTTTCCAGTAATCAGTTTTTCAATCATCATATGCTTATGACAGCTTCCGGCATTGTCTTCCTGGTTTTGTGTGATTAAAGCTTAACAAGAATGCGCCTGCTCTGCATTATATTCTATGCAGCTCTTTATAGCCCTGCTTATAGGGCATAAATGTAAATAAATCTTATAACTCTTAAATACAAAAGTATTTCGATGAAACCGTTCTTTACCTACCTTCATATTTGAGGCCTTTGAAAGGAGCAGTATTTTTTAAAATCTAATTTTTTATCAATCGGTCTAACTTGAAAGACGCGGTGTTGGCCTGTTTCGAGATTGCCAGGTTCATTATCGTAATAAAAAAAAACGCAAAAAGCAAAATTGTATCTTAGCTTTATTTAACGGTTTCTTTACCACTTTCGCTTACGTTGTTTTTGATGAATATTTTTGATATATATATGCTTACATTTCTGAGATAACAAACAAGAAACATTTTTTATTCATGCAAATTACCTAAAATTCGGTGGTGGGACTCGAAGGAGCGACCCCCAGTTTTTTTCAACTAAAGGCTCTATCGGCCAAGTTGCCACGTTTATATTTACATAATTCTTTCGCAGATGATTCAAAATGAATGGTCATTTTCTACTACTTTTAACCTGTGATCCTAAGTTTACTGCTGATACCTAACCTCGACTGCGCTTAGCACGGCACCTTTTGTTTCTGTTTAATCCGTTCTTTTACTTTAATCTAACCTTTTAATACTAAAAACATCTATTTTCCACAATGTAGCATAGTTTAACATAATAACTAGTGTTTAATAGTAATAACGTTGACGTGACTAGTCGTAGTCGGTAAGATACAAATTAGAAATTTTGATATTTGCTAGAAAAATGGACATCAACAAGTCTTTGTAGTATCTAAATTTTCTGTGGAAAAATTGGAGTTCTTTTCTATTCAGATTGAGGAATACTGATCGAGTACAAACACGCACCCTATATAACACCTTTTGGTTGTTATAGTTGATTGACTACCTCGGAAGAGCTTTTAAGTGAGATTTTTCTTTGCTACTTTTTCGTAACGTTCTATCTGGCTTATTATGATTACCATTGGCTTTGGCACCGCTTTACGTGTGTTCTCGTACCTCTTTCGAAGGCATCTTATTATCACACTTATACCTTGTACCTTGTTTCATACCGCAATTTATGTTCGTGGCCATTTTGAGGCCAAAAAGTGTGTCAGGTTTCAACTTCATACGAAGCATTGAAATTATGTATAAACGTCCCGCTCTATATTGCTTGTTTACAAGCTTGTCTACATTTTTTATAGGGCGCTAAAAGCTGAACAGAAGCTTAAAAAGATCGCTAGCTAATCTTTTTCTGTAAGGCAACGCTAAAAAGTAGTACTAATTTCCTTCTAGCATTATTTCAGTGTTATTAATATTAAGGGAAATATTTTTTCGTTGTTATAAACGGGACCATCCATTGTGAATGTACCAATCTCAATAAATTAAAAAAAAAATATTAATAAAAGTAAAACTAAGCTGTCTGCCTTTTATGTAGTGTGATATTGACATGCGTATTGATCGCACTACGTGTAATATAGCACTTACTTCTGAGACCGCTACCGCGCTTCGTAGGTTCGTTACGTAAGCGCTAGCGTCTCGAATGTAGCTCATTGGTCAGTACCGTAACACTAGGTAGTATTCTACTGAGTCAGTTGAATTAAATTTTTAGAGCCATAGGACCTAATTACGACTGTTGACGAGTTCAAGTCGGATCCCATTTTCTAACGCTTTATTCGGCCTATATTTTTCCTAAATCCTTTTTGACGGTCAATAAGCAGCACGACGACTCACATCGTGGCTAAACACGACGTACTCGTGTGGTTTGAGATATGTGAGCTGACACACAATGGCGAGTATTTGCCTGCACAAGTTATTCATCACGATGAAAGTCCCTGTCTTCGAGGCAGCTTTCAACTCCATCAGGGCATTCAGCGGAGAATTCGGATTACTCTCGTACATGAGAAGACAGATAACCTGCCCTGGAAGGATATAAAAGTAAGCTGAAGAATGGTTTCCTTACTTAGGTCGAAACCACTAGAACCCATATCTATTAGTATAGCTCTGTGACGAGACTTTTCTAAAACAACTTAGCTCAATATGTATAATATATTGTGGATAGATCACGAGATCTAATGTACAGTCAGTCGACTCGGGCGACTACATCTACTAGAAATAAGTTTTAAAAGTTTCATAAAGAAACCTGAAGCGAAAATTTGAGCTTTCTCATGTTACTGTTCTATAAAGCACTTTTTTAAAGAGCTTGTCATTTAATAGAATGCCCCTAATTTGATTTCTAGTAACAGCGCCTCCTACAAACAGGAATGTAGCCGGGATAGAGTAGAGAAAGCGCCGGTAGCCTGGAACTAGAGGGCCTCCGATTCTAACCTGGTTGGACATATACAAATTAGGGCGGTCTTCTACTCGCTAATTTGTAAATGAAATAAATTATCATACTTTATTGGATTTTGTGTTACAGGAGGTTGTCGTAGGTCGCCTTCGTTCAACGCCAGAGTGTGATAACTTCGACGATGACAACGATGAATGTGTACTCAGTTTAGGTCTATTCCCGCCACGTCAGCTCGAGATGCCGGCAGGCGATGAGCGATGCTTCCTGCACTTTGAGGCGGCTTGGGACTCATCATTGCACAATTCTCCGCTACTGAATCGGGTGACGACGTCAGGCGAACACGTTTACCTCACTCTGTCCGCCTATCTGGAATTAGACAACTGCGCTCAGCCGGCAATCATCACGAAGGATCTGTGCCTCGTGATTGGTGGTCGCGATGCGCGTTTCCACTCACGGTTGTCGCCAAACGCACGAGCCCTGAAAACGCTGTTCGGTGGTAGCGGTGCTAGCGGTGGCCGGAGCGGCTCGGACGCCGACCACGTGACGGGCCTCTACGAGGTTGTGTTAAAGCGAGCCTCGGACGCCGGAAGCCCGGGCGTGCAGAGGCGCCAGCGCCGCGTGCTCGACACTTCGTCAACTTACGTACGCGGCGAGGAGAACCTCGCGGGATGGCGCCCGCGTGGCGACTCACTCATTTTCGACCATCAGTGGGAGCTAGAGAAGCTGACCCGGCTTGAGGAAGTCGAGAAGGTTCGACATTATTTGCTGTTGAGAGAGAAGCTAGGCTTGGAGGCTGGTATAAAGACAACTCGTGCGCCTGTGGAACAGTTGATGTCGCCAACAGGCCTGCCACCACTAACTGATTACAGTTTTTACGATCCGTGCGAGATGACCGATCGTGAGGAAACTCTTTGTCGACGCATCGTCGGCCTAATCAATAGTCATATACCGAGTAGGCCTCCTCCGGTGCCGACCGGAGCCCAGTCGGCAGATGGAGCAGCCACGCCCACGGCTGAAGAGGGGGGCATCTCGCCTTCAGCCTCAAGCCACTCGCTGTGCGGCCTGCTGTCGCCCACATCGGAGGCTAACGCCCCCACCGGTCCGCCGCCCGGCGGCCTTCGGCCTGTGCCCACCAGTGATGGTGGCATAGGTGGCAGTTGCCTATTAACCGGCCTAGGCGGACTGGCCGGATTGGGCCAGCAAGCGTTGCGGCCGTTCGTGGCCGAGGTGGAAGAAATTCGGGTAAGTCCAGTCGTCAGCCGAAAGGGCACACTTAGCCTATTAGAGGACAAAGCCCAGTCGTGGGTTAAACGCTACGTCACTATTCGACGACCATACATGTTTGTCTACAAGGACCAGAATGACCCCATAGGTGAGCATGCAGATGAGTAGCTGGAGTTTGATTGGAATGTATTGGCCGATAATATTCTAAATAAAATAAATTATGCTGTGCTATATCGTCTGAGGTTTCAATCTATAAATAATCGGTATTACGCTAATAATCGATCGTCGAAATTATTCACGTTATCGTATGTTGCCTATTTACACCTGTCCACCAAAATGGAACCAACTGCATCTGCTTTCTTTTTCTTCGTTTTTATCACACAGAACGTGAGATCATTAATCTCTCAACGTCGGAGGTGAGCTATAACGAAGAACAACAGGCGATGCTCCAAGTGCCTCCACATTCGACCTTCTCGGTCGTCACCGCAACAGGCGGCTATTTGCTGCAAACAGAGGGCGGTGACGAAAAGGAGATCCATGATTGGTTGTACGCCATTAACCCGCTGCTCGCTGGCCAGATAAGGTGAGTGAAGTAGCTTGTTACACGTTCTGAATGCTGCACACTGCGACAAGAGCAAAAATTGGGGATGGGAGCTGACCCTGTTAAACTTCCGTGAGCATTTCTCGTGACATCAAACTATTCCAGTCAACTACTTCCTAGTGACCAGTTATTTAATGACACCTAGCACAATCCCGAACAACGCGTTACCACAAGCTAGCGAACAGTGCACTAAGTGTCGTATCATTTTCTAAGTTGTGCATACATTGTGTAAAATCGTTTTATATCCTCTTTTTGTCTAAATAATTCTTTGCATTGATGTAGCTTGATGCGCTGTTTGAACCTGTCTATGAGCAACACATTTTCTATCTGAGAAACCTGCTAGGTTATAAATATAATCTGGTTTGCAATTAATTAGAGGCTTGTTTTTGAGAAATTTTCAAGTCTGTCTATTTTCGACTGTTTTTGTGTCCTTGCATCTGTGTCACTTCTAATTGGCGGAATTGTAATTATCCATACGTTATCTATGACTAGCATCCAGTGTTTCTGAGGGCATACGCAGTGTGGCCAATCTTTTTCTTGCTCCCATTCTCACGCCTTTATCTACCGCTCCTACAGTAGGCACAACCTGCCGCAGGATGGTCCTGATCCCCATGACCTTGACGCCTCGCCGGCCGTTAGCTGTAGGCCCCACCACCCCGTCATGTCTCGCTGGCGCACGACAACCCCGACTTCTTTTTATGTTGGGTTGGTTTTTGTTTTGTTCGGTTTGCACGTAAAGTATGTAGTGTGCACATATATCGCTCTCTTATCCATGCCAGGCACATTAAATGGCGTAAGGCAAAAAAGACTTAAAAAATTCGATACCTATTTACATGAAGGCGTCAAACACCTGCTTAAAAGATCGCATCAAAGTTCAGATCGATTCGAAAAAAATAAATGTATTTAATTGTACGTTATTTTGCCTCACGCTGTATGTATTTATTTTTTAATTAGGTATATTGATTTGTATCTGATACATGTTGTTCTGTTTGCTCTGAATTTAGCTAAATAGAAAATCGTTCACCTTCAAAATGTCCGACACTGTGCTAACGCAGTCATTTCGAACGTACAAAGCTGAACCGTGGCCGTGTAGGGGAGTTCCTTTAAGATTTAGATATACAACAAGAGAATAAGATTTTTGCGTTGTCACTGACTTCCAAATGAAATCAACGACGACAAGCACTTAGGATTGTACAGTGTCTTAATGTAGTGAACTTATTTTCTGCGGAAAACTTTTAGTGCTCTAATTATCTTGATTTCGTAAGTATAACACTAATTACTAGCAGTACGATTGCTTACTGTAGTTGCTTACAGTTGAATACGTCCTATTACTTGAGTTGATCGCTGAAATGCTCCGCATCAGTACCTTTAGCGTTCGTCTGCTCGTCTAACCTATTGCTAGGAGAACATATAGCCAGCACTATATTGCACATTTTTGTGTTGTCTCTGTGAAAGGACCTAGGTTTGTATTTCCTATCGTTGCATGCCTGCTAATCGAAGTCTGATTATTATTCCTTTTTTTTTTTTATATGTTACAGTTTGATCATAGAACTGTAATTTCGCGGTACGTCCTAAAGTATTACCTACTCAAAAAAGCAGACATAGAATACTGTGACATGTAACCTCTAGGGTGCTACTGACCCGATCGACGTTTTTTTCTGATTCTTTTGTCATTCTTTGATTCTGTTAGGCGCTGCTCAATATTGTTGTTGTTGTTGTTGTTGTTGTCGTCGTAAATACAATCATGTCATGATAACTGGCACGTAAAACTAGAAAGAAATTTCTAACGTTGACAGCATTTAAGCGTGAAAGGCGGCTGCTGCTTGAATACTCTGAGTCTGAGCTTGAAACTAACTAACTCGATGTTCTGTTTTTTTCTCTTGTGCTTGTGCCCATGGCGATGTATGTTTCCAGGTCAAAACGATCCCGCTCGTGAGCAGGCAACTGTGATAGTACCTCTTTGCTAAGAATTGGCATCAACGGTTTGCTATCGGCGTGCCAATGCACCGTATGGACTACTGCTCGCGGGCCACAGCAAAAAACAGTCGTCGTTGCACTCGCACCTAACGAAAAGATCTCCGTTTTACCTAGCGGAGACCACTGCACGGGTTCCAAAAGATACCAACAACATGAACGTCGTCGCTCAGAGCCGCTGTCAGCGATTTCACAGGAGATTTTTTTGGGCGCATCTGCTGGTGATCTTTCTAGGCGAACGGAAAACTACCAGTGCGCAATAATGGTGGCAGTATTACTAACGTATATCATTATAATAGTCATCAAGCGACATATAGCTAGAAGGGAAGTCGTGGCCGTCCTAATTTTTTATAGCTAAGGCCGAAAATAGAGCAAGCTTTGGCAGGAATGTTTCGAGCATGCGTACAAAAAACAACTAAGGAGTCGACTACGGAAAAGAAGCAACGGAGGAAGAAGCAAAGAGAAATGCTGTGCTTTTCGATGGATTCTTGCAGTACATACATCACTGGCTATAGACGAGTTCGGTAAGTTCGTCTTGAGACAATTATCCACAATAATTACTAAGATTCAATTATTCAGTGATGAATAAGCTGCAGGACCCTGCCGCCCTTAACCTTCACTCGATTGCGATAATCTTCTCGACTCAGTTCACTATCGACAATCTTCGAGCGCGTACGAGCAAATGTGAAAACACAACATATACAATTGCAGTAACCTATCTGTTGTTGCCACTAGATATGGGCCGGCTGTGACAGAAATCGTATTTGACCCACGCAGTCTCACATGAACAGAGAAATAAAATGGCAAAATGCACAATGTTTTTCTTCCTTCATACAAACAAATTGCGAATCATCAGGTCAGCTACTGCTGCTGTTGTCGTCATCGTCATTATAAGGCGAATGCCGAAGCAGCAATGGGATAATTCCATTATGAAATGTTTTGTGTGTTTCACTGCTCGATGGGGCGCAGCGTACGCTTCGTTTACGTGCAAAAACACAGCTGCTAATGCCTCCCAGTAGTGATAAAGCTCTATGCGGAGAGAAGGCGTCGAAAAGGGATTCGTCAAAAATCTCGCGTGCGCTTCCACTAGTCGGACGGAAGGCGCGTTGGTACAGTGACGACAATGCACGCTAGAGACATGTAGGCAAAAACCGTAAAGCTGGTGTAGCCTAAACGACATATTGCAAAATCAACGAGAAGCAAAACGGCTAGCTGGTCGTGTGGCCGAACGACGCAGGACGCTGGTCAGGAAGAACAGGAACCAACAAGAAAGAGTCGCGACCAACAAGAAAGCTACTTGACACACAGGCTTAGTTTTTTCTGTAAATGTTAAAATATCGTGAGAGATCGTGAGTGGATACTGCACGTAGATGTGCAACTATTGTGTGTAACGAAACGGGAAAAGAGACCTCTAACTGGTAAAGACGGCTTGGGCACTGGTTGTTCACATACAAAAATCACAACACACGGTGACGTTGATGTTGATTTAGTAAAACGATAAATTCTATAATGAGTATTTTTTTTCGGATAACAAAATACCGTAATGCTGTTGACCGAGACACACTTACCGATACTCACAGATACAGATATTTTTTGTGAGCGGAAGCTAATTATGAATTTTAGCTAGCTATTCTGTGTTATTAGAAACAGATCTAGAATCAGTGATAGCAAACACTAGCTACAAACCAATACGTGTCTGTTTTGAACCTCGAGTTGCCTTACTGAAGAGGACGGCGTCAAAATAAGACAAACAATTCAAGCAGTAACAAAGGTGTAAAATGCTGCCGTAAGGTACGTCAGCACAAGTAAGAGGGACGATTGCTCCTTGAATTTGGCGGGCTGGCTGATTTAGTTAGCTATCAGCCATATTTGCCAAAATCATCTAAAACGAATGCGTTGTAACATCGCTCGAGTAATTTTGAGGACAGAAAACGGAAAGAGGTATATCTTGTAGACTTAGGAGAATTTGTCCGCAGCGTATGAGAAACAAGGACCGATTTCATCAATACGACTATAGTAACAGTGCACATTTGACGAGGTAGTGATCGCGTCGTGCATCGGTGGAAGGGAAGTTCGCTGTGGATTTCTTTCGTTCGGTCCTTCGTCTGGGTATAGAATAAGGGCACGTATGCGGCGAAGCAGCAAACACATCAGGACAATACAAGCAACCAGGACATTTCAGAAACGTCCCACCAAACGTTTTGCCATGGTGTAACTATATGCAATTATATACGTGTATTATACATGGGAGATAGACGAGGACCGATGTGTGTATGGTAAATAAAAACACCCAAGCGACCGTAGGATACACAACGACGACAGTAACTGTATCGCAGAGAAGTAATGAAATTCTTATTAGAAACAAATTCATGACATATTCACATAGCAAGTACGAGTAGTTTAGTTTCCATGAAATGGCAAAAGCGTCAGCATAGGGGCCCTGACACTCTAATGAATATTGACGATTATAGTCCTCTTTTTTCTGAAATTTTGCAGACGGTACTTGTCCATTTTCTACTACTAAAACTAAGCAGAAATCTCAGGAAATATAAGAATAGCGACGTCTTCAATTTGTTTGTTAGAACAATGTTTCATTCTCGTATATTGACCTTGAAGCTTAATTAATCAATTATCGTATCAATTATCTATAATTAAAACAAAATAGACTGTACAGCACTGCACAGACCACTAGCTCAACGACAATAATATCAAGTCAGCTACAAAATGAAATAATTAATGACGCATGTATGAAGGGGATGAAATAAGCTATGGACTAATATATATAAATAAATAATTATAATAATTTATTATTATAATGATCTTTTGGACCGTCGTCATAATATGAATATATTATATACTGGTTATGCTGAATAAACCTAGCTTGATTACTATCAAATGTGGTAAGTGCAAAACCCAGTCGACATGGTAAACGAGATCAGATGCAGTACCGATGTCGCAGATGTAGAAACGAAAAATAATAGTTGCAAAACTTGTAATCGGCTTGTTTGTTTCATAACATTTGGCATTTACTTTCAACGGTGTACTAAAGTCAATTTTCAGCAAACGGTGCCCTAATCCTGGTCAAATAGGACCGGTCGCCGGCTCTATGAAGGTATAAATGCAATGTTGGAGATAGAACTAGATGGCAATCGGGGCACTGCGACGCAGCCGATCATGAGTGATCCTATACCTTTGAAAGGAAACATTCTAATCAGCCAAAATAAGCCCTGCGTCCGTTTAACAAAGTACCAGCTCGATATATATATATATATATATATATATATACGTTAAAATAGCTAAAGGGAAGAATATGCAACGTATTCACCAAAGGAATGGACACGGTAAACCTCGACGCAGTCTCTCAAAGCTATTAACACAGGATAGAATTTTTGGAAAGTGTGAAGTAGATGGTGCACTTCATGGAGGACGTTAGTGATCATTTTATTGGTCACACGCAGGGAAGATCTACTTGCAAGGCTTACTGCAATTAGTTACTGTTGCTATCATACGTTGACTAACAATGAAATCGATTGTTTCTGGCTAAAATAATTAGCAAGCAGACAGACAGACAGACAGAAATAGGTTAGGCTTAGACTACGTATCCTGATTCCTAGGTCACCGAAGGAAAGGCCAGCTCCTTACCATCTAGTAGCTTCTGGTTGTCTACAGTGTATCAGTTATCGATGACATTTAAATCTGTGTTGGTTTCGAAGGCCGTACGCCGAATTTGTTTAAGCCAACGTTAGAAATGGGCTCTGCGGACACTAATAGCCAAAAAATTCATCTCTGTCAATTGAAACTATCGACAATAGTTGCGTATGGAAACAACATCTACAAGTGAGGCCACTTTGGGTTTTAGGGCTGCTTTGGTTGCATATAGCTACTCCACCAATGCTTCAAAGACTAAGAACTAATTTCAAACGAGGACTTAGACCGGCCAATAAATTTAGTCCAGCTCAAACAGAAGATTAATCAAATAATGTGTGTCTGGTGTCTTGAGAGAACAAGAAGCAATCTTCTCTCACTTTATGTAGTATTATCTGTTGTTAGTGATTACTACCCTAAATATTATCAGTATTTTATTGATACCAGTTTAAGGCAAGATCCAGCCACGCCGACTACATTAGAACTACTACGACGAGGCCCTATATTTCTGTGTGTATTTGAGGTGCGATATGTACATTAAGAACGACTTTATGCATCACTTCCAACATGACTAGCTTTAAAAAAAGAGAATGATGATTTGTCTTCTTTTGTTGACGCTCGATTCAAGCTTTATGTGATGTAAAAGGCCAAACGAGAATATCTAGTTTTAGTCACGACGGATGGAAGTATACAAACAATGGAGTGAGTAAATATAGCGGTGAAAATAGTTCCAGTAAAACAAGAGTCGGATTGGCGCTTACAGACCAAGTTGTCACCCAAACAACTGTATCTGCAGTTCGACACACACACACACACACACATAAAAACTCAGAGATATATAGAAGCATACTATGGTACACGTTATTGAATTTTGCACGAACGAATGGCGCGCGCGAAATCGACTGACCAATAGTTCGCTAACAATGGGAGTAAGTGACAACAGGATTATACTCAATCATCTATTTATTACAGTATAATATTCAATGAACATTGTAACAAACAAATAGAGTGAGGTTCGCGTTACTCGCACGCGTATGACGGGATTTAGGACATCCAAGGAGAAATATGAGACAAATCCGTCGTCCAAAGAACAGTAACAAAAAAGCCAATTTGTACAGAACACCCTGTAACTAATCATAATATAAACGTAGCTTGACAACGAATAAATATCAACCAACATGACCAGATGATTTAATAAATTGAATGACGAGGAGGACCGATGGGGAGAATACAATGAAGGAATGCATATATATATATATATATATATACACATATATATATATATATGGGGAAGACGTACATTAAATAATGCATTATACACGACGGAATACGCAAAAAAGTTGCAGAAATCGACCGGTCGAAGGAGTGTGCTAAAGCAACTATCTAGCAAATAAAGCACGATTTATTACCATACGTCGTATCCGATGATACTGTGACACACACTGATGAAAGGGGTAATGTGAAAGATAAAATTCAGTATCGACGGGATTTATTGTATAGAGCGCCTTCTCGAAGAGGGTCAGCCGCGTAGCAGAAATGAGTGTGTGAGAGAGATAGAGATAGAGAGAGAGAGAGAGAGAGAGAGAGAGAGAGAGAGAGATTGAAGAATTACAATAGTTCTACAATAAAAGTGGAGTGAAGCCGAATGAAACATATGCCCTATCAGAGCAAATGGACAATTGTGTTTGACATAACGAATAATTAAACCTACGAATAGAATAGTACTAATGAGACCATCGGGCTGGAGAAACAAAAACGAATAAAATATGAGTATTAAATCACGTGTCAGTATGCTTGTTATTTTCTTTTGACATTACGAGGTAGGTCGATCATAGTATGGGGTTAGTTTTGTCCACATTGCATTGTAAACTTCAGCAGCCTTAGAATCGTATAATAATCATGCCCTTTTCAGAGGCCACCTCACATAGAGAGCATTCTATCATTCCAGTGGAAGAGATTATTTAAATATATGATAGCATGTATTCAGATATACGATAACAAGATATGGATATAAGTCTCGTGTTTACCTTTTTGCGTATGTAAGGACAAACGCGATTCCTAAATTGCAGCTATTGGTTGAAAAGATAAGGCTTTGATTACAAACTGTTCCTTATTCGAAGCCCCTTATCTTTATTAGAAACATGCGGCTCTAGTAGAACAAACTACAGAGGTTATCAGGTATTTAAATGGATGTCGACTTATAATTTAGCATTTTAACTTTTCAGGATCACGGAGATTCCTCTTTCATAGATTTGACGATATGTGAGGTAGATCAGGTGGTCCTGCTTTGTAACTGGAAAGTGCTTGAAAACCAAGAAACACTAATCAAGCATATATAATTCCTCGTACATCTTGAAAAACAAGCAGGAGTCTTAGTTTCATAATTTCTCTAGTGTACTTTCAAACGGAAGAGACGATGGCGGCCATAAAACGCAGCGTGCAGGAATATAGATACCCGCAAAGTAAAAAAGATCTACACTGACTTCTAGTAGAAGCCTTTGGAGTAAGCAACTCCTACGAATTAGGATTCGTAGACAAGTATAATAAAACATAGTCTAGTCTAAGTACTGATAGCATGAAGAAATGAGTCAAGGAACATACAGCCTATCTAGGAGGAAACTTACGACGGTTGTGACCTAAACAAGCTAACAGAGGCTATTAGAGGGTATAGGTAAAGAACAGTGATACTTGAGATACACACCAAAGGTAACATGAAGAACTGCAGGAAAGACTTTCTGCATAAGAAGGCCCAACGGTTCGCCGTTAAAAGCTCGTAAGTGGAAAAGCGGACAGCACAAAAAAAATGTATTTCGGCAGAAGACAAAAATGAAAGTAAGATGCTTATTCTTACCCCCACCAGCCTTTTGATCGAGCTAATTTTACGGATCTGGGCCCTAACGGAGAAATCTCACCTGTAATAAGGGATGAGGTGCTGAGGGCGAAAGAACAAATCGCCAAATCAGGCAAAGCACTAAAAGCGAACGGGCTTACTGCCATAGTCACAAAAATCCTTTTTAAGGTTTTCCCGGACAATGGTGGTTGCCGCTGTGGTTGCCACACAGGTAGGTCAGGCCTTTTGCGAGTACACAGCGAGTGACATTGTGCTTATTTCTAAAAACAAGGTTTCCTACACGCCTGTATGCCTTTTACGAACGCTTTTGAAAAGCGCTGAGGTCACGATAGAGCATAGGTTAAAAAGGTCTTTGCTGAAGAAGAGGGTCTTCTTCATTTGAGAAATATCGATCGGTGCTGACAACAATCGATATGTTAAGAACGCGATAGAAAGCTCGATTGAATCAGCTAACTGCTTTTCAGTATTCTTCTAAAATACAAACGTTTTCAATAGGCTACCATTGTAAGGAGTGTTCACATGTTAAAGCAAAGAAAAATTTTCTTAGCATCTAGTTTCTTTGTTCTTACCTTGGGATTACCTTGGATCGGAACAAATCGATAGTCAATAGAAAAATAAAAGGGTATATCATGAGCTCATTTCTGTGGACCGTAACATGTTATGGGATCTTAAGGCTAGGAAATCCTTCCAGGAGCAAAAATGCTTATTTATGGAGATGACCGTGCTAAGAGAGGTCAGGCCCAGACGGCAGAAGAGCTTCAAACAAGAGTAAATCGCACACTGAGAGGGATGTCGACACAAATGAAAGAAAATTGGCTATTTTTAGCCTGCAGCGCCAAAGGTTGTACTGTTTACTGGTAGAGAAGAATCAAAACCTTTTACACTCATATTGGATGCGCAAAGAATAGATCTAATAAAGATAATAAGATGCCTAAGCATATATCTGGATTACGCAGTGGAGAGAGTGCACTGTATCAGGCAGACCGTTGCAAAGGCGATTAGAGCCTCCATGCGAATCTCCACAATATTGCGAAGCGTTCATGGCCTTAGGAAAAGCGCCGGGAAACTGCTCTACGGCAGCAGAAGAATAGGTAGTGTTCTTCGGAGGTCCTATTTAGGGAATGCCCGAATCGATGGAGTCACAGTCAAGAAGCTACTTGGAAACGCCAGTCAAATGCTTGCGCTTAGAATTATCCAAGCCTATAGCAGAAACACGACCTTGAACCTAATGGACACCATTCCTTGCCATCAAAAAGTTTAAAAAACGAGTAAACTCTGGGAAGATCGACAGAATGCAAAATGTTGAGCACATGGAAAGAAGAATGACAGGCAATATTTTTATTTGCTCCAGGAACGGTAGTAAGAAATATCGTTCTTTACATCAAGACTCATAGAACATATGTGCCGTTTGCACTAGGGGCGTGAAAGATACAGCACACGACACGTTGGTGCCCTGTACAAAATGAGACTGTACCAAAAAAACGGTATGAGAGGGTTCATGTCTTTTATCATCGTGAGAGTGTTTTAAGGCAAGGGACACTGTGGCAAGGGAAATCTTGAAGCAAAAAACAACTATTCATGAGGTTACTGCTGAGCAAACAAGGCTTTGCGGTCAGGTTTAGAGTCGTTCCCGCGTACAAGGATCTAGCTTGTGTGGGGCGCAGGAAACCTGAACGACCCCAACCTATCAATCTATATCTAGGCTATAGTACTGTGATAAATGTAGATCGGGCTGAATCGGAGTGGACCGGGAAAGAGGAATTGAAAATTAGAAAGTCGTGATTTCGCCGGAAACAAATCCAACCGGCGGAACTGAGCCACAAACTCGGAAGGACATAATGCTCTGGTGGTGTTAGCCGTACGTAAACTATATTGTTCAAATCCTCTTGGATGGAAGCCTCAATCCATACCAATATAAATCTTCACTAGTAGTATAAGGGATAGGTACCTGGGGGTTAACAGTGAAACCCATATTGCATTATCATTATGTTAATATATTGATAAAGAACTCCAGCATTTTTTCTAGCGCTAAATATGCTTTTGTGCGCCTTCTTTATTACGTATTTTTGTTTTTAACTACCCTATCTCATAATGGGTAATAACATCGTTATAATTATATTATATA